TTGATAATACTCATCTCTTTGCCTTATTTAAAGATAGTTTGATCAGTTTTCATTTCAGCTTTTGAGTTCTCTTCCTTTTCTCCTCCCCCTGCCTTTTTTATTCCCTTCCTGGTGCAGCTGTTCCAGTCTTTCCCTTCACTTTGGCACCACTGTTGGCCTATTTCCTTAGGTTAGCACTCCACGTCACATTAGTTTGATTAACTGTTGTACATTTGGACTAAACATCAGAGGGCCAAATTCTGATATGGGCTATATGGGGTTCCAAAAGTCAACAGAAAGGTTGATCTAGTGCTGGTAATAGCTCACCTTACCTGAAAAAAGAAAAGGAGGACTTGTGGCACCTTAGAGACTAACTAATTTATTTGAGCATAAGCTTTCGTGAGCTACAGCTCACTTCATCGGATGCATACTGTGGAAACCGCAGCTCCACAGTATGCATCCGATGAAGTGAGCTGTAGCTCACGAAAGCTCATGCTCAAATAAATTGGTTAGTCTCTAAGGTGCCACAAGTCCTCCTTTTCTTTTTGCGGATACAGACTAACACGGCTGGTACTCTGAAACTTGACATTTAAAATGTTATATGTAGGCTTTACAGTTAACATCAGATGAAATGAATGAGCAGAGTAATTCAGATTTCAGAGCTACAGTTTCGGGCTCTCTGTAGACTCAGGAGGACAATAATTACCACTTGATTATCATTTGGAAGGTCTTATTCACAACCAGAAAAACTTGAAGTAAACCTTAAAAAACCCATGCAAACACACAAGAAACTAAGACTCTGAAACACAATTCTGTGCTCTGGCTGTCATGGGCTCTGGTCCTAATATGATTTATTACTACCAGGACACACCAGGAATTATTTTTTAAATGTAGTAAACAAGATGTACAGTTTATGTCCATAAGATCATACAAGTGGATGTCTTTGTATAGAGCATGTCCTAAGGGGAAAAAAAATGGGGGGGGGGGGTATTTGCTTATATATGTTTACACATTAGGCCCTAACCTGGTGTAGTGTTTATATGCAACCACAACATAAATATTTAATAACAAACTTATCACTGGCTTTCCCATTTCACCTCAGCATTTCAAAGAACAGTAAGTAGGAAGCTGTTGCTACGAACTCACAACTTCAGTGTGTATCTACTTTCCCCCCTCTCTTCTTACTGACATCTAGCTTAATGTTTTTGCTAATATCATTGTGCCTTTAGCCTTCAATTTCTGGTAGCAACTGTAACCAGGGATAAATCACTTAAAATGGAGCAGACAGAACAAACACACCCCACACTGGAAAATGCCATTACTGCACCAGTCTTTAATTTTCACATTTCATTTGTATCTGCCCAAGCTCAAAATGGTTTCACCCATAATTTACCAACTAGTGGCTTTTACAAACATGCTTAAAAGAGCAAGAAAGAGAGAAACAATTTGTTTCCAGCAAGTATGTAAAACATTCACAATTCCCTAAGCAAAACAAATGCTAATTATAGAGGCAGTGAATACTGGAACTTCAGGAAAGCAACAAGAGGAACTTCTTATGTAGAAGAGATGCATCAAAGCTCCTTTTCCCCCTTTATTAAATATATGGTAGCTGGAATTAGGGTTTAAATAGAAATATTTTAAATATTTTCAAGAAAAGGGGCAGACCTATGTTTACACAGTATCCAGGAAGGAAACTCTGAATACATAAGACAGAAGAAATGCAACACAATCCATATTTACAAATAAACTATCTCTATATTACTCGTGAGGGCATTCTGTGCCAAAAAATTAAAAAATTTGCACACAACATTTCAAAATTCTGCAAGCTTTATTTGCCAATAAATAAATGCAGAGGCTCCAGCATGCTTGTGGGGAGCACAGGCCACTGGCTCCACGAAGGTGGGAGATCACCGAGCAGCCTCCCCACCCCAGGGACATGGACTCAGTGGTGAGGCTCCACCTAACCCTGACACAGAAACACCCTGGGGCCCTGCCCCTCTGTGCCAGGCACACCAGGTGTGGGGCAGGCACACTCAATCAAGCAGGATCCAAGTGTGGAGGGGCTCAGTGTGGGGTGAGAGGATTCTGTGTGGGACAGTCGGTGCAGGCAGCTCAGTGGAGGGTTTAGGTGAGGGGGGATCTGGATCCACAGAGGCTTGTTGGGGGGGGGGGTTCCAGGTGCTGGGGCAATGGGACTCTGCTGGGGCTTCCAGGTTAAAGTGGTTGGGGCTCAGTGGAGGGGTCTGCGTGTGGCGGTCTCAGCAGGGGGTCTGCGTGGGGGAGTGGGGCTTGGTGGAGTGGGGGACCGAGTGGAACTAATTGGGGATCAGTTACCTGGGGGTCTGGATGTGGGAGCTCATGGTGGTGCAGAGGGGTGGGGCTCATCAGGGTGGAGATTTGAGTGCAGGGAGCTCTGTGGCGGGTGGGCTGGGTGCAAGGGTGGGGATTTGAAGGCAGGCGGCTCCAGATGAAGGGTTGAGGTTCATTTTGAGTATGGAAGGCTAGGGGGGTTCTGGGTGTCTGGGATGAGGCTTGGTGGGGGTGTCTGGGTATGGGAGGTCCAGATGCATGGGGGTTGGGCGGATGGGGGAGCAGCTTCCCGTACAGTGACTCCTCCCCCCGCAGCTGAGGAGCGATGGGGGCAAGAAGCAGGGGAGGATGCTGAACTTCCTGCTACCAGTGGGAGGTTTCTGGGGGTGATTCTAACACAGCCCCAGCCACCCCTTGCGAGGGAAGAGGAAGTCCTGCCCCCTTCTGCATCCAGACCAGCCAGAACTAAGCAGCTGATCCCGGTTCAGGGTAGGAACCACTGGCTGGGGTGTCCCTAGCCCTGCGGTGATTTACCTCTCCGCTGGCTGCTCCGGGTTCCTGAAACCATATACCTGCCCAGCTAGGGCGTTGTGCGTGTCTAGTCTTGCAGATTCCCTTTGCTTCCCTATCAGAAAGTCATTTTTCTGCGGGGAAGCAAAGATATGTGCAGGGGACATGAATTCTGCACACACACAGTGGCGCAGAATTCCCCGATGAGTACAATATGCTTCATCTCTCTCCTCTCAGAAACAATGATCCTATCTCATAATTTCTTATGTGCTTGTTGTAAAGAAGACTCAGAGTCCATTCACATCAGGCTGCCACACCTGTAACTGCAGGAGACTTCTGGGGCCCACTAATGCTAATGGGATGTTAAGGACCCATTCTTCAGTGATGCATGGTGTAAAAAGTGCATCATGGGGATAACTTGAGAACCCTTGGGATTTGGACTCTCTCCCCCTTTATTGTGGCTCTGGTCAGAATGCATCCTAGTTACTTTCCTCCTTATTAACACATAATTTCCACCCACTATTCTCCTTGGGTGTAAATCGTGGACCATAGCCTCTTTGGGAATAACAGCAGTACCTCACCACCACCTACACAAACAGCTAGCATGGTACAGGAGAATGGAATAGTGGGCTGGGAGACAAAGATCACTTGGCAATGTGTCCCAGATTTTGTTTGAACCATCTCTGACCAGTTACCTGAGCCTGTGAGGTGGTGGGAACCTTCTGGGCATTGAGAGGTGCTAGACATCTTGGAGAAGTGGACTCATGGCTGATCTTTCATACTTACTCTCTTGATACTCACAGACCTGCTGTTTATTAACCTGCGGCTTTCTGCCATCAAACCCCATATGTAAGCTTGGAAGGATTTGGTTTTTATGGGTGAATGTTGGTAAAAAATCAATTTCACACTACACACACAAATATACAAGAAAATATTTCCATTGATGATCAACAACATTTATGGGTAGGCAAAGTAAGAAAAATGCTGCTTGAGAACTTACTTGATTTTGACATATGGATATTTACTTTGTATATTTTGACATGTGACATTGATCATTTGTTTTAATAGTTATAAATTTTTAACTTTTTGAATCTCAATGTCTACTATAGCGGTTCTCAAGCTGTGGGTTGGGACCCCAAAGTGGGTCATGACTCCGTTTTAATGGGGTCACCAGGGCTGCCATTAGATTTGCTCAGACCTGGGGCTGAAGCCCAAGCCCCACCATGCGGGGGTGGAGGTGGGGCTCAGGTTACAGGCCCCCCCCCACCCGAGGGTGAAGCCCTTGGGCTTTGACCTTGTCCCACCTGCATGGGGCAATGGGGCTCAGACTCTGTCCCCCCTTTTACCTCCCCCATGCCTGAGGCGTGGGGGGGGGGCGCTCAGGCTTCAGTCCCCCGTCTGGGTCACGTAGTAGCTTTTGTTGTCAGAAGGGGAGTCGCCTGCAACGAAGTGTGAGAGCCCCTGGTTTGCTGTCCCCCACCCCCTACCCTCCTGCAACCGTGAACGTGTCAATCCACAAACACTGACGAGGGGCGGGGCGGGGGGTTAAACCCCAGAGTGCTGCTCAGCTGTGACCATTTCACTCCATAAAACAGGGGAAATGCTCTGAAATTTGCAGCGAGATCATCTGCCTCCAGGACCAACCACGGACACCCGGGCCGTGCCCGGCCGACCTGCCCGCGGGCTCGGCGGCAGCGGGTCTGAGGTAAGTCGCGCGCTCCAGGGCTGCTGGGAACCGGCTCGGGCGGCGATGGAGTCTCCGTCCCCCCCCCCCGCGCGGGGCTCCGTCCTGCACGGAAAAGCAAATCGGGGTGGGCCCCGGCCCCCGCGTGGCGGCAGCTTTCCGGCCCGGCGTGACGCAGGGAGCGCCCCGCTCGCTGCCCCTTTTCAGCAGGGGCTGCGGAAGGCGCCGCCCTGGGCAGCGAGGGGCCCCTTCTTTCCCGCCGGGGCGGCGGGCACGCGCGACTCGGGGAGACCCTAGCGCCGTGACCCCGCCGCGCCGAGGAGCCTTCCCCACGGCCGCGCAGCGCGGCCCCGCCCCCCCTCCCGCGCGCGGCCCCGCCCCCTCCCGCGCGGCCCCGCCCCCTCCCGCGCGCGCGGCCCCGCCCCCTCCCGCGCGCGCGGCCCCGCGCCCGCCCCGCCTCCCGCCTCAGCCCACGCGGCCAGGCCCTGCTCAGTTTCTTCCCCGCCCAGCCGCCCCCCCCGCCTCGGTCGAGACCCGCCCCCCAGGGATCCCTCCCCCTGGGCCTGGCCTGGTTCCGCCGGCCGAGCCGGGCTCGGGGGCGGGCGTTTCGGTCGGAGGCTCGCAGCGGAAGGAGCCCATGGAGGACACTGACTACTTCAGCGGCAGCGCGGCGGAGTGGGGGGACGATGCGGATGGAGGGGCGGTGAGAGGCGGGGGGGGCCTGGCTGAGGGGTTATGGCTGGAGGTCCCTTCTGGAGGGGGAGCAGAGGCGGGAATATTGGCTAGGGGGCTCCACTCCCCCCCCCCCCACACACACACTTCACACCGGGGTATTCCGAGAGGCTGACTCTCCCCTTGTCCTGTCCCCGCTGCGCCATCACCAAAACAGCTTCTCTTGCACAAAGCAGCACAGCCTCTCTCCTCTTGCCCTGCTGAGGGTGGGTTGCCGTGTCCTCGGTGCGCCCCAAGTGTCTGCCTGCCTGCTTCCTACTCGCTGACCCATTGGCATGGTCAGAGGGGGCACAGGGGTTCCCCTCTGTGATTGTCAGGAGTAATAAAAATGTTTCCTCAGTATTTAAAATAACTGTGGTTTCCCCTGTGATATCAAAACCTGTGCCCTCCTGAGCCCCTGTCCTTTTTGGGATGAGTTCCTGGCAATCATGGCTGATCTTTAGACCCTGCCAGTCCCCCTTCACATGGCAAATACTGTAAATGTGGGGTATATTTTAAAAAATCCTATTCTTTATGGCTGCTTCTGGTGCCTGGATTTTTTCACAGTTGATGCTGAAAAAGTATAAAGGAAAGAGAGATGTCTTGCTCCAAGAGATTTATCATTTAATGCTCTGATTCTACAATTGCAGTATTATTTGTATTTAAGGTTTGATTGTGCTCGCTTTCCTAAAAATACATTTTCCACCCTAAAAATACATTTTTTCCCTAAATGCAGTTAGGTGTTGAAGTAAATTCTGTTAAGAGCTTGTGCTTTCTACTGTAGAAGGCATTTGCTGTAGGAGATCATGGTGTATGTGCACCTTTATGGGCAACGAGCAAGCTATTTAAAATGTAACTAGCACAGTAGAAAAAAAACAAATGTAAAAGAGAAATAACTGCTCTGACTCTGTGTTTGTAAACAGCAGGATGATGAGTATGGAGAAGGAGAAGATGATGCTGAAGTCCAGCAAGAATGTTTGCATAAATTTTCCACTCGAGATTATATAATGGAACCCTCTATATTTAACACACTGAAAAGGTGAGTGTGAAAGATTTTGATAGGTAATGATAATATGTTGCATGTAAGAGAAAGTGTGTGAAAATGATACCTGAGTGCATTGTTCTGCCTTTACATAGGGTTGGGGTGTTTTTTGTTTCTTAAGTTAGTTTTGAAATAACTGTTGTTTTTTTTTGTTTTTTTTTTTAACCCTGTGTCAGGTATTTCCAGGCAGGTGGCTCTCCAGAGAATGTTATCCAACTGCTGTCAGAGAATTATACTGCAGTAGCACAAACTGTAAATCTACTGGCAGAGTGGCTCATTCAAACAGGTATGCTACAGTGGCCTACCTTTGTCCTGTGGCTGTAGTTTTTCTTTATACATCAGAAATCTCTGAACTGTTGGCAGATATGGGGCGGGGAGAGATAGCTCAGTGGTTTGAGCATTGGCCTGCTAAACCCAGGGTTGTGAGTTCAATCTTTGAGGGGGCCATTTAGGGATCTGGGGCAACTATGGGGGATTAGTCCTGCTTTGAGCAGGGGGTTGGACTAGATGACCTCCTGAGGTCCCTTCCAACCCTGATATTCTATGATAACATTGATCATACCCAAAAGTTGGATGATGTCCAAGTTGCCATTCTATACCGAAATATATGACTAAATTCATTTTTTTGCCTTTAATCCCAATATACCTGATAGGAATATTTTTAGTTCCACTTTTGTGTAGTGATGTGGCAGCTGTCTAATAGAACACAATTGTACCCAAGGGATGAGTGAGGTACTGTGGTGATGAACACTAAAAATGCTAAAATTGTAGTATGAAAGGAGCTATTGTCTATTAGACTTTCTGCTTTTTGTCTATTATTTTAATCCCATGTGAAGAGAATAGTGTTTAGGTAGTGTTGTGATAGATACTCTAGAAATACCTAACATCTTATTATAGCAAACATAATTAGTGTTGATTTAACTACATTTTAGTTGCAGCCTGCTTCTTGTGGATCAGTTAAATATACAGTTTTGTAAATGCAGTTTTCAAAAGTACTGATTGAGAATGAAATTCTTTACTGCCATACCTTCTGGGATCTCTGCAGCTCTGCTGCTTAAGGGGCAAGTTCACAGTGTAAATTTTGCTGGATCTTTGCCATGGTGTAATGAAGAGGTGAAATCTACATCTTGGTAGGTTCAAATGTAACTAGTATGAAAAGCATATATGCACACTGTTGGAAATGTCTTAAATCACTGCCATCACATTACAGATACTGGTTACTTCATTATACGTTATTCAAAAGGATACTTGGAGGCTGGTGGGTGTGTATTTGAACCTATCATATGGGAAGCAGCTGTCTTTTAGTTTGTAGCCATGTAGGTTCACTCTCTATTCTCCATATGTTTTCTTGTGAACAGACAAGATATTGAAATGTACTTATCAGCCTATTTAGGTGTCTTGTAAATGTCAGTGCCCAGCTTGCTCACATGAGTGGAGAAGACAAGTTGAGAAAAGGATTAGTGTAACCTGCACATGTGTGTGTCTGTGCAATACAGTTGGTAGGTCTGTGTTTAGGAAAGAGAAATCCTTCAAATCTGATCTAATATTGCTTGATATTCCTATTTTGAGTTTTGAATACTGTCTCCCTTTTTGCCTCTTAGTTAATTTGTTAGATGACTTCTGTTCTATTATTCTAATAGCAATGAGAAACTTCAAGGAGTTGCTACTACTCTGACAGTTCAGATTCCACCCAGTGACATTTCCTTCCTTGCAGGTGTTGAGCCGGTGCAGGTTCAGGAAACTGTAGAAAATCACTTGAAAAGTTTACTCATCAAACACTTTGACCCTCGGAAAGCAGATTCCATCTTTACAGAGGAAGGCGAGGTAATGCATAGAATACACATGGCCAAGTACAGACCAGCTGCTCAGTGGCCAGACTCAGGATTGCAATAGTTGGACATAATGTCTCTGAGCTCATCTTTATGAGGTTGTATCTCTTTAGACCAAGGTAAATGTGGCCCTTGGATTCAAATACTGGGGAAGGAAGCTGTAGATTCCTCTTTAATACTTTTCTAAAACTAGCCCTCTGTTAAAATTACTCTACATATATAAGCAGCCCTGTAGGTTCACTTAGACAGTGGAAACTGCTCAGTGCTGAATACATATTATTTTGTTACAAGGTTCCAGTTAGCTATTTCTCTTTCAAGACTCTTGAAATAATGCATGTAAAAATTTTACTCTGGATAAGCTAAAGAAGTGGAATCTGTTGGATTATATAAATGTGTATGAATTCAGTTTTTTTTATGGCACTGTACAGCAGTGTTTCTTTCTGTCTTTGTAATTTTTGCAGACTCCAGCCTGGCTTGAGCAAATGATAGCACATCCTACATGGAGAGATCTTTTTTACAAACTTGCGGAAGCCCATCCAGACTGCCTGATGCTTAATTTTACTGTTAAGGTAATCAATACTGGAGTCTAATAAACAGAAATCATTGTTTCAGTAATAAGCTAATTCTTCCGCCAATCATGCCAACTGTAACCTTTCCCAATCTCTTGGGCATTCATATTAATACTATTTATCGTATTGTTAACTCTGTGCATTTTAAGAGTTTATTTTCTATGGGAAGAATGTTGCAGACTGCATCTTGGAAATATTTTTCTTTTAGTTTGACATAGCTAAATCAAGGATCAAAGACAGTAATCTATATGTGTGGATTTTAATAGTAAATTGTTACATTTCATTTGTAGGCAGTCTAAACCATTCTCATTATGACTGCCATGTGGTAAGGCTTCTTTAAAGTGAGTTTGGTGTTTGTGAAATGTACTGAAATCTATAGCATTCTGGTTACATGAAGAGCAAGTATTTGTACAGATGTCCTCAGTACAGGCTTCACCATAGTGTACCTCACTGTCATGGGACCCATTCTTGATTGCCTCCTTTAAACCACTTGCAAGGATGCCAACTGTTACGGTGTATTTTTGTGATGTAAAGGGAGACTGACCACCAACCCATTTTGTGTAGGTTCTAGAACAGCTGACCGATGGTTAACCTTTTTTTGGTAGTGTGTCAAGAAGTAGATAGTCTCCTGGCTTGCCTGTGTGCACGTAAGAGATCCAGGAGACTAACTGCTTTGTAAACTTGTTTTGTGTAAGGTTTTGCAGGTAACTTAATGGTCCCAGATAGCAATGAGAACACTTAATTAGGAAGCTTAATTCAGTTCACAGGTGAATCTTATATTTTATGTGAACTGCTTTAACTTTGCTTTAACAATTTATGACATTAGCAAAACCTTTCACTGAGAGGGAATGGAAATGCATTGTTTTATATTATGTCCTAGAGGTTTTTTCTTTTTTCTTTTGTTTCTTTTTTCCAGAAAGTACAGGAATGTGTTATCCTAGAATATCAGGGTTGAAAGGGACCTCAGGAGGTCATCTAGTCCAACCCCCTGCTCAAAGCAGGACCAGTCCCCAATTTTCTCCCAAATGGCCCTCTCAAGAATTGAATTCACAACCCTGGGTTTAGAAGGGTTGCTCAAACCACTGATCCCCACTAATAAATGGAGATATACCTATCTCATAGAGCTGGAAGGGACCTTGAAAGGTCATTGAGTCTAGTCCCCTGCTTTCACAGCAGGACCAAGTATCCTCCCTTATTTTTGCCCCAAATCCCTAAATGACCCCCTCAGGGATTGAACTCACAACCCTGGGTTTAGCAGACCAATGCTCAAACCTCTGAGCTATTCCTCCCCATGTTATGACCTGGGTTTATCCACCTGTCCTGTTATCATATTTTTCAGTCTGTGTCTAGATGCTGACTATTTTTTATTTGTATTACCTGGATTCCATGGAGTGTATGCAGAGACTCTTTTAACATTCTGTGCAGTGTAGTTTCATCCAATCTTGCTAAGATGTGCTGAGATACCAAAATCATTTTAAGTGTTGTTTGTTGTTATAGCTTATATCTGATGCTGGTTATCAAGGGGAAATAACCAGTGTATCAACAGCATGTCAGCAATTAGAAGTCTTTTCTCGAGTGCTACGAACTTCTCTGGCTACAATTTTAGATGGAGGGGAAGAAAACCTTGAGAAGAACCTCCCAGAGTTTGCAGTAAGTGTCATTTTACCTTTTGTCAAAAGGAATCTCACCTCTTCCCTGGCGATAAGGGAGGTGTAGAAACTTCAGTGTATCTTCAGAATGTTGTGAAATGGTTATGCAGTCTTGTTTATGGGCCCACAGAAAAAAATGTACACCAAGAGTTATGCATCAAAAATAACTTTTATATTGTTCAGAGTCGTGACCACCAGGGGTTGTATGGGCTGCTGAGATGACATGTTTTGAGGTTCATTAATCTGAATAATTTTGAAGGTGTAGAAGTCTAGCAGGAATTTTAGAGCCCATTATGCTTTCAGCAGTATCACCAGTGTCCTGATTGACACATGCTATCAGTTCACAGCGGGGTATCAGTCCTGGCATAATTGTAGTGGTCTAGAAAATCTAGACCCAGAAGAATGTTGGTTATGATGCAGGACCTCAAGACAGCAACTCTTGGAAGTTCCTCAGCATCCAACAGTGTGCTTGGATTGAAGTGTTTGGGGAAATTCCATTTGAGATAACAGGATTTGTGCATATCATTTTCTATTAATATTATATGAATTTGTGTTGTCCAAGAGAGGACTGGGCAATAAAAGATGCACGTTTCTGGGGGAAAGACTGGGAATTTGCTGCTGATGCTCTGTTACTAAATTAACCCTCATTCATTAGGGTTAACACCTTTGGGAACATTGTAGTAAAAATGCAGTTGTGTTTGTATTGTGGCATTGTATATACCTTCTCTAGTAAGGAGTGGGGCTAATATACTTCCTCCATTATCGACCCTTTGAAGTCACCCTCAGGCAGAGAAATAAATATACTAGTTCAAATTGGATTCTTCAGGGACCAACGGACAAAGGAAATACTTCTGGATAAAAGCCTGGGGTTTAATCTGCCTCAGGGCCTTCTTCCTGTTCCAGCAAATGGACAGGGCCCCTGGTTCATGGAGGATCCCAGTGCTTAGGGGAGGATTGGAAGGACTTGGCCTACTGGGGCCTCATAAGACTGTGTGCTTGTTCTGAGCTGAAGCTCTGATGAACTTGTAACCACAAGGATGCCCCTGGGATGGGGGTATTAAAAGACTGCACTTGCCAAAGCCTATGTGAGAGTTGGGATGAACTCTGGTAAGCTTATTAGCATGTGCCTTTTATTGTTTTTAATAGGTTTCCTCTTAAGAATAAAGTAGGCTTGCTTAGAAATAACTGTGCGGTAACTTGTATCTCAAGCAATTATACTGTTCTCTGTCCTGAAGAGAAAGCAAGCAGGTGTCCTAGGGCAACCTTTCTGTGCTGGGAATTAAAAGTAAAGTCAAGGGAATACCCTTGTGCAGCCTGGGAATACCCCAGTCAGAAGGGATAGAGAAATGTGTGTCCATCCAAGAAAGGCAACAGATGCGGAGCGGGATGTCTGAGGGTGGGTACCGTTGGTGTACCACTGAGGGGAAATACAGGTGCAGTTGCCCTGAATTGTGACAAGTGCGTGTTCTTTTCTGTTAAATATTGTAGTGAGGTTTGGATAGCTTAATGCTAATAAATTCTCTAAATTTAGTGAGAGAAATACTGGAAAACCATGAGATCTGACAGTTGGGTGCAGAAGAGAGAATTCCAAGAAGCCTTTTATGTTGGGTAGTAAAGTGAAGCAGGATCTCTAGATCTAGCTTGTTCTGGAATAGCATCACATACAAGGATGTCATTCTGCACTGGATTTTCTATGGTATCATCTTTCCATTTACATTATAGCTTACTCAGTTATTTAGAATCATAGAATATCAGGGTTGGAAGGGACCTCAGGAGGTCATCTAGTCCAACCCCCTGCTCAAAGCAGGACCAATCCCCAACTAAATCATCCCAGCCAGGACTTTGTCAAGCCTGACCTTAAAAACCTCGGAGGAAGGAGGTTCCACCAACTCCCTAGGTAACACATTCCAGTGCTTCACCACCCTCCTAGTGAAAAAGTTTTTCCTAATATCCAACCTAAACCTTCCCTACTGCAACTTGAGACCGTTACTGCTTGTTCCGTCATCTGCTACCATTGAGAACAGTCTAGATCCATCCTCTTTGGAACCCGCTTTCAGGTAGTTGAAAGCAGCTATCAAATCCCCCCTCATTCTTCTCTTCTGCAGACTAAACAATCCCAGCTCCCTCAGCCTCTCCTCATAAATCATGTGTTCCAGTCCCCTAATCATTTTTGTTGCTCTCTGCTGGACACTTTCCAATTTTTCCACATCCTTCTTGTAGTGTGGGGCCCAAACCTGGACAGCACCATAACTAACCTTGCTGCTGCTATTAAGGCAATATATTTGTTGAAGGGTGACCCAGATTTTTCAGACTGGCCAATAACCTCTTCCTGAATGTGTTCACAGAAAATGGTTTGCCATGGAGAACACACATATCTCTTTGCTCAATCCATGATGTCCATATTAGCCCAAGAAGAGCAAGGTGGGTCTGCTGTGCACAGGATTGCTCAGGAGGTTCAGCGATTTGCTCATGAGAAGTAAGTCCTTGTTAATTTGTCTTTCTCACATGAGCAGATTTTCAGTGGTAAAAGTATGGTAAATCACAAAATGTCAGCTTTACCCATTCTTGATTGAGAAAGAGAATTCCTAAATTTCTTCATCCTGCTCGTAGTAGGATAAAGCTGCACAGTAAGAGAGCTGCTCAGGTGTGGTCAATAAACAACTATCTACAGAGCAACAAACGAGCCCTTTTTCCAGTTTGGGATACCTGAAGTAGCAATTATGAAAGAATTAATTAATGTTGATTTTCTGATTGTGTAAAAACTTGTTAAAATATCCTATGCAAATCTTTTATTTCCTGCTTTAGCCACATTGGTATTATCTCACTGAGGAAAGGGTTCAGTCTTTAAGGCTGTCTTCTGCACACTAGCTGACAAACACTGATTATTCTATCTGTATGTTTCTGAGGCTAAAATTAACATGTTTCCATTTCTTTATAAGAAAAATATAATGCCCATGTGTGTCTTGCTCTTTACCAAGAGGCCACGATGCTAGTCAGATCACTCTAGCCCTGGGTACTGCAGCCTCCTACCCTCGAGCATGTCAAGCACTTGGTGCCATGTTATCCAAAGGAGCACTGAATCCAGCGGACATCACAGTCCTGTTCAAAATGTTTACAAGCATGGACCCACCTCCAGTAGAACTGGTTTGTAGTTACCTCTTTATACTGTTAAGTTTTTCTTTTTATTTCTGTGACATAAGTATCTCAAGGCCTTAATCAGGGCTTCAGGCCCCATCGCGCAAGGTGCTGTACAAACACCAAAATAAGAGATAGTAATAAGTGCTGCCGCTTGCTAGCACTCAGTTACTCATTATGGAGACTCCTCTCATTAAGGGATACAGAAATGTGATCATGCTACTTGTAGCATCTAATTATGAATGCTTTTACAACATTTCCCAGAAGTTGAATATGGAAAAGATCTATTAGGTCAAATTTTAAAAAGTGTCCCCAAAGTTAATTACAGGTGCAAATGATCCTGTTTAGATTTCTAAATACCTGATTATGTGTGGAGTTCAAGTAATAAACAGGAAAATTTAGATCTCTAAATAATATTGTCTGTGCTACTCATTGTACTCTCCACTTTGTGCCAGCACTTTGATTTGAGCCCCTTTAAAAATATGACCCATTAAACCATCTGGTCTGTCACTCAGCAGCTAATGCATTATTGTACCCTATTCTGTGTGTGTACATAAGATGCAGATATTATTTATTTGGTGCTTTTTAATCTGTTGCACTAATGAAACCCTGTGTTTCCTTCACAGATTCGAGTACCCGCCTTTCTGGACCTTTTCATGCAGTCACTATTTAAGCCAGGTGCTAAGATCAATCAGGACCATAAACACAAGTATATCCACATATTGGCATATGCAGCCAGTGTAGTGGAGACATGGAAAAAGGTAATATCAGATTCTTTGTGCAGAAGTTAAAGTTAATGCATTAATGTAAGTATACTTAAGGAAAATCCAGGCTTGTTGTTTAAGGTCCATCATTGCTTAGACTAAAACTGTGTGCACCTGATTTTTTCAGAGGAATTAAAGACCCCCAGCTCCAACTGAAAAAAATGGGAACTCCAGGTCTTCTATAGATTAGGCCAGTAGAGCAATCGTTTGGGGGTTTTTGCCATTGTATCTTAGAGTAGCAATTGCAGTGGTCTGTGCTGTGCTAGAAAATCTGAACTCTCCTTTTAGAAGCAAATGAATTAATTTAAAATTATGAAAATAGACCTTTTAATAATACAAGATAAACATTCATAGTACTTTACACTCATCTGTACTTCGGTTACTTTACAAATTTATATACAGATTTCAGCATTGTGAAAGGTAAAGCTATGTGAGACGTGTCATATAATAATTCTTTCCCTAAACAGCCAACAATTTCCTGTAAAATTCACAACTCTTGCATTCAGAGCTTAATTCTGAAATATTTTCAGAACAAGAGAGTGAGCATAAACAAAGACGAGCTGAAATCAACTTCAAAAGCTGTTGAAACTGTTCACAATCTGTGCTGCAATGAGAACAAAGGAGCTTCAGAGCTGGTTGCAGAGCTGAGCACCCTCTATCAGTGCATCAGGTAGGTAGAAAGTCTATTCCTGAGCTGAAACTCCTTTCTGTTAACAAACTACAGTTTACATAGTAATAAAAAGAAGCAAATAGTGCAAGCTGCAGCTAGCTCTGTTTTGTATTTCATAATGCTACACATCACTGGCTTCAGAGGATTGTTATTGAGGTGTTGACTTCTGTTTTTTCTTGCTTCTCTTTCTTTTCTGTATTATGTAATGTAGCTGTGCTGCAGCCCTTGGGAGAACATGTAGTATTTCTGTGAAACTCCTTCCGTCTTCAAAATTGCTGTTCATGGGGAGGTGTATTTTTCAGTAATAAGTCGTGATATAATTGCTGTGTTCTGGATAGATAACTAGGTCTAAAAAGACCTTTTCTGGGAATGTTGAACTGGGAAGCTATTTCTATTCACAGCTCACTTGTCCGGAGCAGTTGCTTCCTTGTGGGCAATATTAGGAGTATCATCATTCTGAGCATATATGTGAAAGATCTCTCATGGCCATATTTGCAAGGGTATAAGCGACATTGAGGCTCCAAATATACCTCATCTGGATCAGTCTGTAATCAAGTCAGCTTGGTCTACCTCCATCTTATTACTCCGTTCCCCAAACTGAAATCTTCTGTACTGTAGAAGACTGTGCATTTGTACAGTTGGAAGGAGATGAGTCACATCGGAGTCACTTTTTCCTACCTAATGAATCTTTCTCAGCACAAATCTTTCCTTTCACACACACCACAGTCCCCCCAATCCCCACCCTCCCCCAAGTCTGAGACAGCTGATGTTGAGTAATCTGACTGGAAAATTCTTGGGCCTGCTCAGCCTTACAGTAGATTATATGGAGCGAGATCATCTTGCCCACGGTGTATGGGACATACCATTCTCTGCTACGGGAGCATTCTTGTGAAGGGAAAAGAAATTTCTCTAGGCTGAGCATCTCCTTTTACTTTATCAGTGGAGCCTGTTCTGAACATGCTGGTAGCAGGAAGAGTATTTCTTTTCCTCTCTGAGAATTAATTCTAATCTAAGTTAAATATGAAACTTTCAGCTGATTTGTAGGCAAGACTAAGAACACACTTTAGGATTGAGTATCTAAATCAGTTTGTGTAATGGAGCTTATTCTATTTAGGTTTCCTGTGGTGGCAATGGGTGTATTAAAGTGGGTGGACTGGACAGTGTCAGAACCACGATATTTTCAGCTTCAGACTGATCACACTCCAGTGCATCTGGCATTACTAGATGAGGTAAGACCATAATGGATATGTTACTGAATGGTGATGGCAATTTTTAGGTTTGTGAGTGGAACTAAGGGCCTGATCCAAAGTCCATTGAAGTCACACACTGGATTACATCAGTCAGTTTACTGTTACGAATCCATTTCAGCACCCCGAGTTAACTGCTTGGTACAATGAGATGGGATTTCCTGGAGCAAGTCCCACTGAGTTGGCAACTCTAGCCCCCAAAGGGATGAATGGCAGTTATATACATTCAGTCCTGAAGAATTCTGTATTGAGCAGTGGATCAATAACTGAAAATAAGGGTAAGCCTGCTTGAATAACTGTCTTTTAAAGTAGAAATACTGGTAATCTTAACACTACCTCATATTTGCAGATCAGCACGTGCCATCAGCTGCTTCACCCCCAAGTTCTGCAACTTCTTGTCAAGCTCTTTGAAACGGAACACTCCCAGCTTGATGTCATGGAACAGGTGATACTTAAAGGATTTGTTCTTTATGTTGCTCCTTGTCAGGAGTCTAACAGATAACTGATCTTGCTGCCCTAACATTCCCAGTGGAACTTGCTTCAAGAATATTATGTCATCATAAAAAGTTACTTGACAGACTGAATTGATAAGGATGAACAATAACACCTTTTTTTAGGTGATTCTGATTCATATGCATGTTTTTTTCGCCTCTTGTCTTTTCAGCTGGAATTGAAGAAAACCCTTCTGGACAGAATGGTTCACTTACTCAGTCGGGGATATGTCCTACCTGTCGTTGGTTATATCCGCAAGTGTCTGGAGAAACTAGACACAGACATCTCACTCATTAGATACTTTGTTACTGAGGTCAGCTGCTCACTTTTATTCATGTAGCTCTTTTTGTTCCTTTTTGCTTTGAAAAGGGACAACTAGCACACAACCAGAAGAGATTTAATATAGGTTTTATATCTGTTTGGATTAGACTATTGGCAGAGATTACTAACTGAGGATTTTACAAATACCTGTACTTCAAGACACATCAGATTCTGAGATATACACTTAACACTGGACACTCACTAGGACATGGCATACTGTTTTCAGGGGGCGGGAGTTCCTGTAGTGATTTAAACAGGTTTGTTTGCAACATCAGCAAGCTAGAGGCAGTACAGGGCCAAAGCATGGCAGGAGACTAGAGGTGGTGTGAAAGAAATGTGAATTAGTAATATACCACCAGTTTGATTTAAGGAAGGAGGGTGACACAAGTCAGTGGTCTCTGCCAATCACCAAATTGGAAAAGTAACCCACAGTTCTCTGTCTGACATCTCAGGTACTGGATGTGATTGCTCCTCCATATACTTCAGACTTTGTGCAGCTTTTCCTTCCAATCTTAGAGAATGAAAGCATTGCAGGCACTATTAAAACAGAAGGTGAACATGACCCTGTCACAGAATTCATAGGTAAGATGTTTGTTCACTCCTCACTCCCTTACATACCTGTTACATTCTGAAGATAATATTTGTGGGAGGGGGATTACATTTAACAGAATATATTATACAGGCACTATTGTGTACATTCCAGTTTCCCTTTCCTCTTAAAGACCCATGTGGAGAGATTTTCCTTTAACCAGGGATGGCTAGATGGGGCTTCCTTTGAAAGTCCTTCACCAGTGCTTCTAGAGAGGTTGCTGTATAGCAGTGCAAGTCCCTTTCTATTGCCTCCATAGCACACTCATGCATCGGAACAAAAAGGGTCAATCTGTTCGCTAGATTTTAACTTACTGAATTGTCACAAACCAATTATATAATGCAGACATTGCACATGAAAGCAGTTATAACCAAAACAATGTGCTGAACAATTTTTTTAAATCTTTTTTTTTTCTTTAAGCTCATTGCAAATCTAACTTCATTATGGTGAACTGAGGAAGCGAGAAAACAAGAATGCAGAGCACCATGAATACTGAGGTTATGGACAGTCACTTCTTTGCCATGCCCATCACCAGTAGGGTTCTGTAGTTGGATGATACAATGGCAGCCAACAAGGAAGAAGTGTAGAGATGCTTGCTGATCCATATTGCACAGTAACTGTGAACTTTATTCTAGAGGTCTTCTATTGCATCTTTGGGAAAGGATCAATCCATAAGTGAATTAATACTTCAGGATATTTTTATTACAAAAATCAGTTTGCCAGCCTAAGAGCAGCATGAGAAATAGTCCTATTTCAAGGAATGTTTTTTATTACTTTCGCAGATTGTAGAAATTTCTTCTACTGATCCTGTGTGTGTGTGTGGGGGGGGGGGAAGTGTGTGTGTGTGTGTGTATATATTACATTTTTTTTACACACTCTCTCTCTCTGTCCATCGACACTTTTGTAGTGACTGTAACCCTGAGTGCTGCAGGCTTGGATCTTGTGGTTTGATGAGCACACAGTTAGTCCTGTGCTGCAGAGAACCCAAGATAATTGTTTTCTCGTCATTGCGTTCCACAGGTGAATGTTCTGAATATCCTACAAAATCACCTTCTGAAAAACTACGTGTGTTGTGGAACGCAAACTGAGTTGTAATAATCAAGGCTAGTTCTGTACTGTTAGACAAATTCTGTGTGTAAGCAGCCTTGTTCTGAATTCTTTTTTTTTTTTTCTGTTTAGTAGATGTGTTACACGTTACTGGTAAGTTTCATTACCATGTCACAATTGGTACTGTAGCTAAATTATCTGAATATGTATAAACACTTCTTGATGTAGCTTTTTTTATTACTTTAGCATTTACTAGTTTAGTGTGGAGAAGTGCAGTGGAAATAAACCACTGAGATTCTAATCTACATTTTTATAAACAGTACTTTGACAGAGACCTCTTTTATGCTTTATATGGTTAGCCTGACTTTTTAAAACCTAACTCTGGGGTATGTTTTTTTTGTTTCGCACACAAATGCATGCAGGGAAAAAATGGGGGCACAGAGAAGCCAAACTTGCCATGCCATTTTAAGGAATGTTAATATCTATATGCCCTAATTTCATCCCGATAAATTGCACTTGTAACTAATGATCGGCACAAAATTGTTGTTTAGATTGACATTCATAAAAAGAAACCAAACCCTCAAAATAGCCAGTTAAGTGGGTTATAAATGTGTTCATGAATCTCTGGTAATGAGATACTGCAGGCATGGGTTCACTAATACACAAGATAACGTGCCATTGTTTGTGGACTCTTCTGCAAGAACCTTCTTTTCTCCCCCCATGCTCCCAATACAAGTGGGACTCTCAATCAGACTGTAATCTGTAATAGTTGAGTAAAGGGGACAGTGCTTCCTAAAAGAAATCAGAGACAGTGCTGCTGCAGCAACTCTAGGTTATTACTACCATAACACTGGCCCATTGCTTAAAGGTGGTGAATCTTTTGCATAAATAATGCTTCCTAGTTCTTGAATGGAAGGTGCTAGAACATTCCAAAGTGCTTTGTCAACATTTAAAATATAAGGCTTCAGGCACCTCTGGGAGTATTATAGGTAGAAGGGACACCCAACTTTAACTCTTTGCAGTCTTCCATAAGTTCCCCCTTCTCTGTCTCACCAAACAGAATCTGTTTGTCTTTCCTCTAAAAGCCTTTCATGGCCAATACCGTCCCTATTACAGTCTCTCATTTGCTATTGAGACATTGACTCCTGCCTTGGATTGGCCTCCATTGTCCTCTTGTTAACTTTCCAAGCAAGTACTTTCATGCTTTGCCCTCTGGTGCCCCTCGTGGTTGGGAGGGGCTTGCTGTAAACATCAGGATAATAACCTCATTATCCTCCTTAAAACTCTCCTTTGCTGTGATGCCTACAAAAAATGGCCAGGCCACTGGTATGCCAAGACTTGTGCTTACCATGATGACCAGTATTGTTTCCTTGTTCTCCCCCGTCTATATCCATCTCTTGTCTTGTCTTCTACTTAAATTGTAAGCTTTTGTTCTTTTCATACAGTGCCTAGCACAACTCACTCCATGACATGACTGCTATATAAATAGCTGTCAAGGTGGCTAACACTTTCCATTATAAATTATTTTCAGTAGTTTAAACTTTACCAAATTATAAGCATTCAGGTTGCAGTTTTCTATGCTGAGTGTTTTGCCCATGTTTGAAAAACTTCTTACAACTGTTTCACTGAGAAGCTCTGCTACCTCCATGTGTTGAAGCAGGAATCATCCTGCTCTCAGGCAAATGGTCTTTGCTGAAAATCCACACATTTGGCCTCTGAAAATTCAGTTTGCACAAGGTAAGTTGAGGTTTGTTAGAGGCTGGCAGCAGTGTTCAATTGGTACTGAGCATGCTCCTTCCCTGCCTGTAGCAGCAAAGCAGGACTTGCCTTGGAATTGCTGCTCCTGGCAACTAGACTGAACGGAGGGAGAATGTTTGTTTGCATTTCTGTTTTTCCTCCCTATTGATGCCTGGGCAGTGAGGAGGAAGCAATCTAACTCCCCTGCAATGGGGCAGATGGTAAAAGGGTTTATAATTACTTGAAAACACTCCTTTCCAGAAACTGGAATGGTACCCAGGATTCTTCAATCTCGTTACTCCGCTGTCAGCAAATAGCAGTGAAATCCAAGGTCAGCTAGTGTACCTCATCCCCTACCAGTGGTGGCTCACAGAGGCTGATAGCTAACTCCTCCCCATTACTGTTAAAAAGAACCTTAAGGCTGAGCTTCCAGGAGTTAGGAAATGTCAAAATTCAAGTTGCCCCTACAACCATATTTTGGCCTTCAAGTGAAAGGTCAGTGGTGTGGACCTCAAGGGACAACTCTGCTGATGACCCATGTGGGTCACTGTAGCTCCATCTTGTGGAACTTAGATTTTTAGTAAACCTAAAATTAACTTAAAAAAACATTTAAAGAATAGCAAGGGTGCAAAGTTGAGCTTTCAAGAGTCAGCAGTGCAGAACTGAGGTTGCCTCTGCACCTTTACTTTGCATATATGAATTATGCTAACCTGCAACCATGTAACTAAAGACTACTAACTTTGCAACCTTAATGTTTTAGTATCCTTTTTTGACCGCTAAAGGAAAGGCATTTGGTCAAGTTTCCAAAGAACATCTGTCACAACTAGGAATAAATGTAGCTCTTGTGGCCCTCATCCTATACTATATCTATGAGACAATGCTTCATGTTCTAATATGGATCATAGGCCCCTAGACTGTCCTCTGTATTTTGCTAGGCAACTAGTTTGAGAGTTTTCTCCCTGTGAGATTGAAGGTAAAGATTGGACCTGGTATCGCTTTATCAAAGCAGCAGCAGCAGCAATGGTGCTAAAGATCAGTGGGACAGTGGTGGAGCTAATAATTTGTAAAATAAAGCCCCTGTCACAATGAAACAACTGTAGATGAGTAATGTGCCTGTCTGTTGTAGGTCACAAGTGAACAAGTAAGCTTTTATTTAAAACAAAAAGACAGCTGTATGAGCTTGGCACATTCTCTGGCTCTGGAAATAACAGATGTTTTAAGACATTGGAAGATCAGTTTCTCCTTAACTTGCCAAGATGAAACACAGAATGCTGTAGCTCCCCTATAGCACACCTGAAATGCAGACCCTAATCACTACGCTCTAGGTGAATGTGACCTTCACTACATACTGCCATATGTAGTATGTTGTGGTTGATTAGCATCTCAGTCCAGGAGCAGGACCCTTGGTGACATGGGGCACTCTGTTTCCATGCATTTGTAGGGTATCCTTAGTTCACTCCTATACACGTACTGACATTGAACGTGGCTCCATTCCCCCACTCATCCTTCACTGGCACCTCATAGTGGCATTTAACTAAAGTACAGATTCTGTTTAAACCATGTCTGTGCCCTTCCAGGAGATGCTGCCATAGGTACCAGTAATTTAATGCTGAGAAACAAATTCCATTAAACTCTTACAATCCACTTGCACACCCTCTAATCACTTAACATAAGAAACAATGTCAGTTGAACAACTGTGATTCAGTTAATGTTTGATATGGTCTGGGTTGTAATTTACACCATTAGAGAACTAGGCACATCAGGTTGAGTAAGCAGGAAAGAGGAAGATAACATACCATCTTTCCTTGTATGCTAAAAGCACATGTTAAAAGTTATGTCTCATTAGAACCCTATTCCCCTTTTCTCCCTCCCCCCCCTTTTAAAAAAAAAAGTCATTGTTCTAATGCAGAAAAATAGCACAGCCATTCAAATACCAAAGCCTAGAATTAGAGCAAAGAAAGCACCAGGCAATAACAGTGTTTATATTAAACGTTTTCCAGTAGTTTTAGAGATTTGGTTACTGTTGCATCACTTTCAATGAGATAAAAATGACAATCTGCAATGCAACACATGCCTTAGTGAAACAATAGGATGTGACTATAGGACACAGTTTTAAAGAGAACAAAAAACATAGTATGGTCTCTGCATTTATGTAGCTCAGTGATATTTACTTTGTGCTATTGTACTTTGTGTATATGATTTACAAGTCTCTAAACCCAAATTTTTTTAAAAGAAATCAGTACCTCTTGCTTTGAGCAAATTTTAAAGTTTGTACTAGAAGGAAAACCTCCTTTGTTACAAGTGCAAAATAAATCTTATATATTCCTTCAGATTAAATATAGTCAAGTGAATGATTTTTCCAATGAGAGGATTTGTACCTAAAACTTCTGATAAGTTGCTTGGTAAGTACCAGGCACATAAAGCAGAAGATAAGCAAGTTTGTCTTTTAAGCAAACAACTGCTTTTCAATATGCAGTGTAAGTTCAAAATCTAGAGACAGTTTTTCTGCTTTAAAATATAATGGTGATCTGGGCTAATTCCTCTTAACTGCCTTTTAATTAAAAAATGACTTGATTGGAGGAAAAAAACAAAACGAAATTTCAAAGCCAGAAAGTACCCCATAAACTCTAGAAACAATCAAGGTAATACAGGATCTCCGTAGGCACAATCTTCTTCAATAGCGAGATTGTACTCAGCTCCTTTTCCACCTTTATATGCACTTGTCACAATCCTCAGCCAGCCCAGTTCACCCTATAGTAAATTAATGTTCATTAGTATTGGCAAAAGGTTTATAAATTAGTAACAAAGTAACTTGTCTCATAAGCAGTGTACTTTGGGCAGAGCAAGGGTGACTAGAGGTGAAGGCAGATACCTGCAAAGGGTTTGAGTGGGATTCACAAAACAAGCATATTTGAAAGTGTGGTTCTCTGGTGAACTCATTAGTTTCCAGCCAGGAATCTATTTCCATATCCTACTCTCCATAGCCAAATGGGTTTGTGACTTAGGGTTCCAATAGCTATTTACCACTGGCTTCAATGGGAGTTGCACAGACATAGGAGGGCAGCATTAGGATTTTACGGCGTTGACACCGCACCGAGGCTGGCCTGCTCTTATTGCCTTATGTGGTGTTCTTTGTCGCAGGGTAGCATTCCATTCCATTCAGATTTTTTTCCTAGTTGTCGGCTGTATTAAAAATCACAGATTGAGAGAACTCCTCTGGCTAAGAGGGAGACTTAGTTTTTTTATGAACAAGCTAGTTGCACAGCTTGTAATACAGAAATTTCTGGAGTTTTTAAAAATGTGCATTTCATTTTGCAATCTCTTCCTTACCCATGGTTCACCCCAGGAGTTACGGACAATCCAGTATTCAATTCCGTTTTCCACACCCCAGCCAGCCACAGATACAATGTGATTCACCACAGCTGAGGGGTTGTATTCAGCATAAAGTCCTCCAGCGTACGCATCCAGCTGTGCAGTGGCCATTATGCCACAACTGTAACAAGCAAAAAGAGCTTCATTCAAAAATAATTTTTATAGCAGGCTAAAGGAGAACAGTGTCCATCACCCACTCACTTCAAATGAAAAGTTCTTAAGTGGATCTATATATCATAAGATATTGTGCAAAAGTTTAGCACATTTCAGTCTTCAGAGGCTAAGGCCTGTTCTGGTGAAGAAGCGCTGAATGAGCTACATAAGGAGGCTCTGCAAGTTTCCTGGGATAAACTGAAAACAACTTTAATAAAAATTAACAGGATAACTCTTACCCTGTAATACTGTCTTTACCTGATTGGACCATTGGCATAGATTTCTGCCATCATTTTTTCTCTCCCACTGACAGAGCCATAGTCAGCAATTTTCCAGAGCGTGTAGTTCTTTATCACGTGGCATTCCCCAAAGGTAACACATGTTCCACACTGGTTAAACTTCTTACATGCTATAAAGAAGCAGTGACATTAGATTACCATTGCAAGCTAGTGTTTCTTCTTACAGTTAATTATTCAAATGAAATATAATTAATGGTAGACTTGAATTCCATTTTGGGGTCCATAATTATAAGATTAAATATAGCAGAGAAAACTGCTTGTTTCTTCAGGTTAAATAAAGCTGCAAGTTCAGATTGCTAATTAAGGCAGTCTCCACAGTCAATAATATTTCAATGATATGCGCTCTTTATCTGTGACAGCCTTCAAACATGCTTTTCAATCGTAGGTTATAAAAACTACTTCCTGATAAATTTCAGAGTAGCAGCCATGTTAGTCTGTATTCGCAAAAAGAAAAGGAGGACTTGTTGCACCTTAGAGACTAACCAATTTATTGGAGCATAAGCTTTTGTGAGCTACAGCTCACTTCATCGGATGCATTCAGTGGAAAATACAGTGGGGAAATTTATATACATAGAGCTCTCCCCACTGTATTTTCCACTGAATGCATCCGATGAAGTGAGCTGTAGCTCACGAAAGCTTATGCTCAAATAAATTTTAGTCTCTAAGGTGCCACAAGTACTCCTTTTCTTTTTACTTCCTGATAAGTGTCTCGGTATGCAAATAATTAAACTGCTTCTGTGGAGCTATAGAAATAATTCAAGGGATTTGTTTGCAAGTAAGTAGAACAGACTGAAGATCTGCCTGGTAACTTAAGATGACACTTCTAAATATTACTGCATGGAAGCACCGATGCACATCAGTGACTAGTGAGTTCAAATTAGCAGCCTGGATGGTGGATGCTTGTTCAGACATGCTGGTAACACACTATGCTGTCTGATTCTCATGCAAAAATAACCCAAACAGCTACTCTAAGGGAACCTGCTGCTCCTAGGCAGATAGCAGGTGCTTCACTAGCAGCCAGCAGTAGGCAGAAGCAGAAAAAGAAATGGGTGTGTTACATAAATTATATTTATGTTCCTTTAAAGCTAATACCAAACCCTGCCAAATAAGAGTGAGTAGTAGTTAGGAAGGTTTGCAATTTGTTGCCATACTTTGGTCTTTGGCTTGGTAGTTGTTACAGGTCTCATCTGGAATGCCATGGTCGTGAGCATACATCCAAACACCTGAGTGGTCTCCACCTTCGCAGGACCCTGCGTTGGCACAGTCAATAACATTCTGAACAGAGAGGTAGGCAGAAGGCCAAGCTCCTTTTCTCTTAATATTGATGCGATCTGTGGTAATAAAAGAATAAGCAATTGGTGCTTGTTAGTTTTACTGTTTGTAGGTCATTTTGGGCCAAATGTTTCGGCTACGTCTCTTAGTTGCATCTGTTAAATATCTGCAGACAGCTGTGGATACAAAAGCCTACAGTATGCCAACAGAATGGCTAGGTGCACACACCATGACCCAATCTGAGTGGGCACAATGATGGCGTCTGTGCGTTTTGCAGGTGCAGCTAACATTTTCCATTCCAAGTTTGGCTTCAGGAGCAGATATATTTGGATGAACATGTTTCATTTCAGTCGTTAATTAGGTAAATCCTAACATCTACCAATTATGAAAGCACTCAGGTGTAACTAACAATAATACCTGGCTCTTCTATGCCATATTTCATCTACAGATCTCAAAGCCCTTTACAAAGCTTGAAAGCATGACTATCCCTCTTTTACAGATAAAGGAAAAAGAGAGGTCGAGTGATTTGCCCCAGGTCACCCAGCAGGTCAGGGGTATGTATGGCTGGCTGTAGATCCCAGGTCCACTAGATGTTCTGCTAAGCTCTGAAATCTCAAATCTGCATAGATTTAAGCAGCAAAGAGACCAAGGGCCAAATTTTCTGACAGTTTATGCCCAATTGTACTTGCTTGGTTTACTCTTACTTGCTCTTCCACCTCTTTGCTTTCTCTGCCCTCCCACTTGTTTGTGTACTTAGACTGAATTCTTTCGGGACAGGGACTTTATAATAAGCATTTGTACAAAGCTTACTACGATGGGGCCATGATCCTAACTGGAACTCTTGGGTAATGCTTCTACCCCAATCATAATGATAATTAATTCTTCTCAGAGGTCTGAGAAGAGCTTTTTATGAAATGTAGACACTCTTACTGCTTCAATTGAGGCCTGAGAAAACTTCCACTCTACTTCCCTGGTCCTCCAGTGAAAGCAAGGAAGAAGGGATGTCAAATCCCTGCTTATTACTAAAGTTAAGGAATTTTGATAAGTTTGCCTTTATTTTTTTCTCAAAACTATAAACAAGCCAATCAGAAACTTCAGTGTGTTTACACTAAAGTCCAGCTCCCTGATATACATGATCACCAAGCCCTGCCTGGCTATCTGCATTTTTGGATTAATTAAAAACCTGGTTCTTCATAACTCCGTCTTTGTCCCTGACTAGTTTCCCCATCAGCCCCTACTGCCTCCAACCTAGTCTCTATTCTGCATCTCCACCCCAGACACTGTTTATGTATTATATCTGTCCGAATTAACAGATAAGCTCTGCAGGCATCTGCATGTGTTTTGCAGAGGGCCATGTACACTGGCAATGAAACCTGTACCTGTTTCCCTGAGTGACGGGTAGTGAAATCTCATTCCTGTGAGACTTCCCCTGCTTCAGTATGTCCGCTCAACCTGTATAACGTGCTCCCAGCCCCATGTGCATCTGTCCTACTGCCGCTGTTGCACTGAAGACGCAACAGAGAAACTCCTCCACCCAAAGCTAAACTCCAGCTGAGCAGCTTCCAACGCCCAAAAAAGGGAAGTCACAGTTGTATCTCGGTCTTCACTGTATTGTTAGAATAACTTATCTACCTACTTCTCAGGCCCCAGAAAGCCAGAATGGTGACTGAATGGAAGGGGGAGAAGAGAACTGTACAGTGAAGGGAGTGCGACATCCCCACCCCACAAGCAATGTCCATTCTGCTACACGTGTATTCATCACTCCAATTTTTCCTTTTTAATCTGTGTATAATTCTAAATGAGGGCGGACACCCCTACCACGATGGTATATTCCACCAGCAAAAAAAAAAATTCCCCTCCTCAGCTGCCATTTGGGGAATTCCTACAGCACCTGCTACCACCAAAACCACCTTCCTTTTAGACTCTTCCTTCCCCCTCCCCCTGCCTCTGTGTGTCTTATGTAGGACAGGTACCTTGGCTCAGATAACCAAAGCTACTTAGGAGTTAGGCCCTTAGTCTTGTGCAGTGACGTCCCTTAATAGTGCTGATAATCCTGCAATTCGAAGATACCCATCGTCAGGGGGTTCAGAGTGTTGGGGGATCCTGGAAACGGACTGACTGGCAAAAAAGCAACACCCAATAACAACAGATACCCAGTAACAAATACCTGCTAAGGCACTGGTGCTGCCATGAGCCCAACAAGACCCACAGTACTGAGGAATGTGCTGGTTCCGGGTGGTACTAGCAAAATTGGTCCCATTTACATTTCGCCAGTCCCAGCTCGGGGGCAGTTTCGCGATGTCCAGGTACTCATGAGGTCGAGGGTAGGTTCTATATGGAAACAAAGTAGTAGGAGATGATTTTTATATTTTCAGAGAGAGAAAAGGGGGGGAAAAAAATCTTCCAGTCTCAATATGATGTGTGAGAATTTCCAGCCTAGCTTGAGATCACATGACAGCGCTAGCCACCATGACCTTTAATGCTCTTCTATATATGGGCTGGTGACTAGTGTTAACTCACAGAAACAGCTCCCAGGTAGGCAGTGGGGATTAAGAAATGAGAGGCCTGGCCACTGCAGCAGGTCACAGGAGTTCGCATGAAACAATCCAGGCTTCACGCTGTTTTCTATCTACTCTCAAAACTAAGAGGATGGGTTTAGTGTTCCCCCTCTGCATCACTCAGGAGTCCCCTATCAAGGAATAATTTAGCAGTGGGGCAAATCCCTGTCTCCCCCCAGCGATCACCCTGTGCCCACAGTATTTAGGCACCAAATTCCTTCTGAGGAGTTGGGCCCTGGCCATTTGCCCCCTAGAGAAGCAGAGAATCCTTGGCCCTGCTGCTGAAACTGGGGCCAATTGTAAACACCCCGTTTCCCCGCCTCCCTAGGGGACGGTGAGGAGCGTGGATGTTATCGAAACGAATTGGTCCGGGCGGCGCAGGTCTGTGCAGTTAGGAGGGGCCACTGCGGGTCGGGCAGGGGCAGGGCAAAGCCCGAGGGTGCAGGCGGGGTACAGGAAGGAGAGGCTGCGACGGCCTCAGCATCCCGTGAACAGTGACAGTCCGGGATTTCAGCCCCAGCTGATTCCTCCCTGCACGCCGCCACCCTGGCCCCGCAGGCTCCGGCCGGCAGCTGGGCTCTGCCTGCCTGGCTCGGGAAGCGCGTGAGAGGCTGACCGGGGCTTCTCCCGAGTCCCGGGCCCCGGTCTCCCTGCAGCAAGGAGCCGCCCCCCCTAGGGTGACCAGCTGTCCCCATGGTATAGGGACAGTCCCGATTTGTGGGTCTTTTTCTTATATAAGCTCCTCTTACCCCGCACCCCGGATTTTTCACATCTGCTGCCTGGTCCCTCTACGCCCCTCGCCCGGCCAGCGGCCCGGGAGTAGCGGCGGCGTTGCTCGTGGCTCCCGCTTCCTCCCACCCAGCCCGGGAGCAGCAGGGGCCCGGCGCCCCGCCGCGGCCGAGCGCTCACCTGAGCCCGGGGGCCTTGCGCGGGGCCGGTTGGTAGCAGTGCTGCCCCTCCCTGAAGTAGAGGCCGGCGTCGGAGGCCGGGCAGAGGCAGCCCCCGAGCAGCAGCAGCAGCAGCGCGCGGGGAGACGCTGGGGCAGCCTGGGCATGGTCCTGGAGCGGCAGCTGCTTCCTGCGCAGCCGGGCTGGTTCCCCCCCGTCGGCGCCAGCATATAAGGGAAGGTTGCGGCGCCTGAGTCAGCCAGGGGCTGGACTCTGCCAATCTCCAGCGGCGCCCTGGGCTGGGAGGGACGCGAACCCGCCAAGCGGGAGGCGCCGGGCCCGGGGTCCGCCCGCGGGGAATGGGCGGCGAGCGCGTGTCGCAAGAGGGGCCAGGGTCAGCGGCTCCCCTGGGACCGGCTCGGCCTCGCCGCGAATCCCAGCTGTGGACCGCCCCAGCGGCCCCGCAATCTCGGGTGTGTTCGGTTGCTCAAGCAGGCGCCTTCCTCCTGCGGGAGTTAGAGGCATTTGCAGACAGAGGAATGGGGTCCTGAGCGCTCAGCGGCCTCTTTGCAGCCCGTTCCCCCCTTGCCCTCCCGCCTTCAGTGATTACACTGCGATGGTTTCTCTTAATAAACGTGCAGGAACATCTGGTATCTGCAAAGAAAGTGCCTTCGTGCTATGGTCAGATGTTTTTCAGGCCAGGGTACAGACTTCACTGGGCAGGGCAGTTCCCCCAGGCTGCCTGCAGAAACACTGCGGCCCCTGCCTGTATAAATCCTTAACAATGTTCTTTAAGACGTATTTCCATCAAGGCCCTGATCCTGCCGGAAGTCTGCATGTGCCTAACTTTATGCACTGTGAGTAATCCCATTGAAATCTTTGCAGGAGCCTGGTCCAAACAAGGGTTTGGGGTTTTTTTCAAACTTTTTTTCTGGCGACCCAGTTGAAGAAAATTGTTGATGCCCGTGACCCAAGGGAGCTGAGGATGAGGGGTTCAGGGTGTGGGAGAGGGCTCTGGGCTGGGGGTTGGGGTGCAGGAAAGGGTCAGGGCTCTGGGTGCAGGCTCTGGGGTGGGACCAGGGATGAGGGGTTCAGGGGTACAGGAAGGAGCTCTGGGTTGCGGGGGCTCAGGGCTGGGGCAGGGGATTGGGGTGCAGATTTACCTCTGGTGGCTCCTGGTCAGCAGCACAGTGGGGGTGCTAAGGCAGGCTTCCTGCCTGTCCTGGCACCGCAGACCACGCTGTGCCCCAGAAGTGGCCAGCAGCACGTCCGGCTCCTAGGTGGAGGTATGCAAGCGGCTCTGCACAGCTCTCGCCCACAGGCACTGTTTCCTCCCGCACCCCCGCCCATCTTATGGTTCCTGGCCAATGGGAGTGTGGAGCTGGTGCTTGGGGTGGGGGCAGTACATGGAGCCCCATCCCCCCGCGCCTAGGAGCTGGACCTGCCGCTGGCCGCTTCCAGGGCACAGCACGGTGTCAGAACAGGTAGGAACTAGCCTGCATGAGCCAGGCAGCGCCACCAACAGGACTTGTAATGGTCTGATCGGTGGTGCTGACCAGAGCCGCCGCGACCCACTGCCTTACATTCCACGTCCCAGTACTGCTCTAAACCACAGATGGCATGTCTACATGGCAACAGAAAACCCCAACCCAAACCCCTGTGGCAGCAAGTTTCAGAGCCCAGGTCTCTAGACTCAGGTTCACACTGTGGAACTAAAAATAGCAGTGTAGATGTTCAGCTCAGGCTGGAACTCAGGCTCTGACACCCTCCCCCTGGTCAGGTGCTGGAGCCCAAGCAGGAACAGCTACGGTAATTCCAGCTAAAAACACCCTAGCATAACCCACAAGCCCCAGTCTGTGAAAACAGCCTCTGAGCCTCACAGCTGGCGGTGTGGTTTTGTGCAGTGTAGATATACCTTTAGAGTGCTGACCAAGCTCTGGCTGGGAACAGAAAGCAGAAGCAAAACCAGTTGTGATGCAATTTTTATGCCCATTTCTGACTGTTGTGCAACTTTTGTGTCTCATAACACTTCTTTCTGGAGAATTAAATTAAATTGCACATTTTGCTGGCACACAGTGGTACAAACACAAATGCCTGACAGTTATTTTTCTAAGTGAATGTCATGCGTATGAAAAGTGCCATCTTGCCAGCCCCGGAGGCTGAAATCCTCCGCTGAACCATCAAACAGGTACAATGTAGGCTGGCAACGGCAGTGCAAGCTTCCTCCAGTGCACTGATAGGTCTTAACGCTGACCTGGGATGAACATCTCTGAGGGTTCGGTTTCCATGGTTGTTCAGTGATTGTCCTTTCTGTTGAGCTGACAAACATGAGGGTGAGGGGGAATTGTGGTAGTGGGTTTTCCCCAGTTCTTTGGTGATATGGAAACCTGTCCATTAGGTGCTAGGGGACATGAAATGCACTACACATAAGTCACTAAAGCCATTAGCTAGTAACAATTTTTGGTCATTATCCTCTTGTGCCAGTTTTGATCAGCAATGAACTGGTGAGCGAGTTCAGATCCCTGTGCTAGCCGCTCCCCACATTCAGGCCATGGCAGCTGGGACATTCCGTCCACTCTGCTAGAATTTTCCCAACTCCGCCGGTGTTGCTGTGGGATTAAGATTGACACCTGAGGGCTCAGGCTGGGAGTGACACCTTTTTAAAACTAAAACTGAATTTGAAAATAAATAGCGTCTGCTGCACTTAGCATACGGAGATGAGGCAACCGATGCGATGCTCCCAACACAAAGGTTTGTGATCCACATGCATGAGGACAAATGCTTTGAAAAGATGACACATTCCAGGTGAAAGGCCCCCTCATGTATGAAAAGATGCAGGAGATGCTTGGAAGCACAGAGCTACACAACAACACATTGGTAAGCTGTGGCCAGAGGCTGAATGACCACAGGCATGGCCATTTTTGTTAGCCATGAGTTTTTAACCTCTCAGGCCTTCCTGTGCTGGTATTTACAGATTTTATATATAGAAATATATCAATGTGGAAAAGTTTCAAAAGCCCTAACGTGACTTAAAAGCCTAATTCCTGTTTTCAAAAGTGCCAGGCAGTCATGAGCCTTAATCCAATTGCAAGCCAATGAAGGCCAGTTTTTTTAAGGGATTTTTGGCATTGCTTGGCTGGGTGGAGCAATGCCTAGCCCCTACGTGGCCTGGTGCCTACTGGAATTTTCAGCCGCAACTTAAGCAGCTCCCTGTGGAGTGCAAGGGGGGCAATTAAGTGCCTAAGAAAGGGCTTTTCAAAAGCCAGCAAGCTGAGTGGGGAACCAGCGAATGTAGCCAGGCATGAAATGCCAAGAAGGGGAGAGGGGGGGACGAAGAGGGATTTAGGTGCCTAAGTGGCTGAATTGGTGCATGTGGCTGACATGCCAGAGCTAGGCTCCTCCCTCTGCTCAGGATCCTCAGCTGCAAACACTATCCTCCACCTAGGTCAGGTCAGTCACTTCAGTAGCCCATGCCCTAGCAGCCAGAACACTCTCATATGCACAATACCTCGCTAATGGTTGCCCTATGTTTCACTGTGCCCTGGCTGTCTTTTGTGCAGGTGCTAATGCTGCCTCTGTCCCCTCCTAACAGTGGCCATCATCAGGCCCTCCTGCTGCAGGGTCTGACAGGTGTCAGGTAGTAGGCGTGCTCAGTGCACGCTTGTGATTGGCTCTTCGTGGCAATTCTGCTGCAGGGCCTGCGGGACTTGGGCTTGGGCGACAGCTATGAGCACCTCCTTGGGGTGGCTGCAGCACTTAGGCTGCTTTGAAAATGCCAATTAGCAGAAACTTAGGCATCTAGGGTACTGAGGCACCTGCGGGGTGGGGGAGTAGGTGGTGCGTGAGCTGTAGCTTTGAAAGTGTCAGTGGCAACCACATTAGGCCTGTTGAGGCACCTGAATCCCTTTAAATATCAGGCCCTGAGCTCCTGTGTGCTCATGTCACTTTTGAAAATGGGCCTTAGGCCCCCTAAGTTATTTAGGTGGTTTTGAAAATTTTACCCAGCAGTCATGTAATTTGTGCACCATAAAGAAAATGCCTGTTGTGATCCCAAAATGTGGGTGAAGGTCAGATAGCATTAAAACTGTCCATGAGGCAGCAGGGCCCATCTTACCTGCACAACGCCTAGCCAGTTGATGACTTCATTAAGCCTGATTGAAGAGATGAAATTTTGCAGAAAAAGTAAATGGCTGGTCTTTTAACCTAAACTGTATTGAGAGAGAGAAACTTGGAAAGCAAACATCTTGTGCTTGCAACAAGCAGTTTCGTTTCTGTGTTGAAGCATGACCTATTGCTATACTTTTAGAAGTGGAACACAAGTGGCTTGACTTCAAACAGGGGTTGTAAACGGCTTTGAAGCTGGCATGTGCGCTGGCCATGCGGAATACTGTTTGTAACAGTCCCAGAAATGGCATTATGGCCCAGCTTGGTTGTGACTAGAATTGGTTACAGGCTGGTGGCCCTTCCGTGCCCTGTAAGTCAAATTATTTGCTGGCCTCAGTCCAGTCTCATCACAATAAAATTCAAATAAATAAATAAATAAATAAGCTCCTTCCCCTCCCCCCAAAAACAAAACACCATCGTAACAGTGAATTCTCTATGCCTGCCTTGTTGGCAGTCTCAGCAAATAAACCAAGGATTAATCAAGCCTTCCAGAGTGTAGTCCACTCCTCTCCCTCCATCTCCTCGCCTCAGTTGTGAGCCAGGCATGCCAAGGATGAGGCCAGAGGGTGTAGCTTGTATGCTGGCACTGACTGCTGCACCCAATTTGTGGCTAGGTACAGAGGTCTCTCCAGGACTGAGAGTCTGTCTCCTTCAGCGAGCACTAAACAGGTTTTAAAAAAGCGAAACGTGCACTTAGTCCTAATGATGACAATGCTGCGGGGGGGGGGGGGGGGAGTCCAAAGAAATTGACTTGTGACTAGGCTGGGGCCCATCTTTATGCCTTGCCCCTATGTAACGCACATTCAAGACAGTGGAAACATGGAGTGGGCTGATACTATTAAGGTGCACTACAGCGCTTTCCTGCACTTTGTCACATTCACTTAAACTAAGTCAATAGATTTATAGAGCAGCACCCTTTCAGCCATGTCCCTGCATGCTACAGCTGCTGATCACTTGAAAACATACACTGCTTATCAATGGTAACACATGTACAGCATTGGCAGATAGCAAATGCCTTAGTGTTATTAAACAGGCCTGAAATTGCCAAGGAATGACAGGGTAAAGACCAGAGTTGTTTGTATAAAGATGGTGCATTACAGAAAAGTGCATTTGAAACAATTCCATATTTGAAGGTATGAAGGTACTTTTTGCCCCCGGCAACAATTTATCTAGGCTGTATTCAGAAGCTGTTAAAAAAGGCAAACGGGTTCAGGTGGTTATCGTTAGCGAAAAATATACTAACGATGGATGAATGAGTCTCTGTGAATAATTTATTTTCACATTCTTTGTTCTTTGCTCAGGAATTGTTCTCAAAAAGATTGCGACAATCTTAAATTTGTGGGTTACTCAAAACCATTCTGCCAATTTCATCAGCAACTCATTCTTGGTTGCCACTCATTAGCTAATTGTAATTATTTACAATCCAAACTATGTAAGTAAATTTCATTGGTCAGGCAATGTTGGTTCTTTGCCCTAACTAGATGACTGATGTAACTAAGCTCCACTTGAGACCTGAATGTGCAGTTTGACTGTGCAAATACTCCTATCAGTAGACTTTGAGTTTTTGAATGTTTTCAGGCAGTGAACACAAAATATCATAGAATATCAGGGTTGGAAGGGACCTCAGGAGGTCATCTAATCCAACCCCCTGCTCAAAGCAGGACCAATCCCCAATTTTTTCCCCAGATCCCTAAATAGCCCCCTCAAGGATTGAACTTACAACCCTAGGTTTAGCAGGCCAATGCTCAAACCACTGAGCTATCCCTCACCGCAATATATATGGCCAAATTCAAATTTGCTTTCCAATTCAAAGGCAAATTCACAAATAATTGTTCCCTCATTCTTCCAGCTCTAGAAAATACCCATGATGCAGTAGGTGAACATGATAGTCGAGATCAGGGGTGGCCAACCTGTGGCTCCAGAGCCACATGCGGCTCTTTAGAGGTTAATATGCTGTTCCTTGCATAGGCGCCGACTCTGGGGCTGGAGCTACAGATATTAAGTTCCAGTGTGCCAGGGGGAGCTCACTACTCAACCCCCTGCTCTCTGCTCTTCCCCAAGCCCTGCCCCTACTCCCCCCATCCCTCCAAGGCCCATGCCCCTTCCCCCAAGACTGCCATGCGCTCACTGCTTCCCCCTTTCCCCCTCCCTCGCCGAGCCACCTGCACATGAGAAACAGCTGATTGTGGCAGGTGCTGACTGGCAGGGCTGCTGGCGCAGGAGGGAGCTGATGGGGCGCTGCTGACGTATTACTGTGGCTCTTTGGCAATATACATCGGTAAATTCTGGCTCCTTCTCAGGCTCAGGTTGGCCATCCCTGATCTAGATACAACTTCCTTGTCTGTTAAAACAGAATGGTTAGAATCTCTTCTGCATCTGAAAGATGATGCACTTGTCCCATTCTAAAGAAAACATGAAATGATCTCATTCTACCTCTCATTGCTATCATGATTAATTACTGGGTGACTTATAATGCTCAGCCATGTGAAGGGTTGATAGGTTGGTCTAGGTGCAAAAGGGTCATTATCCTGGTGCTTGCACATACACGTTGTGCTATATTCCCTGCAAACAGTAGTTCTGGGAGCATTTTTTGCTCTGTGGCTTATTTACATTGGCTCTTTCTTTAGTAGCTAGCAAGATTGACAGTACATGGTGGTGGGGAAGTCTGGATTAGGAAGATATTCCTTTTGGGTGGTGTGGCAGGAGGCCGCTAGATTGTCTTTTTTTATTTATAGTGCACCATAATGTGATAAAACGAATTACTAGAACTTCATTCAATGAGCCACGTTCTTCCACTGGGCTGGTCTTATGTGTTTATTCAAAATAAACATTTAAAGGACTTATCTTCTTAATTCTTCTTCCTAGTTGGACACTGAAAGGCGCATGTCACTGAACTGTACTACGTGCCTAATGTAAAATGAAGCCATCTTAAACTCACAAAAGTGTCCTGGCTTGGACATCTGGTGCTCTGAGATACCAGATCTGTGTCTATCTGCAGGGGACATGCCTATGTCATAGGACTGGTTGGCGTTATGTTACTTCTTTGATGCAATGAAGCATTTCCAGTGTTCCTTGGGAACACTCTTTTTTATCAGTGACTGCAATGGGGCCAGGCTTTTACCCCTCTATTTTGATGGCAGATTCCATGGGACGTACTAGTCTTTCTTCCTAGCCAAATTCCTCGTGGGAGGCAGTAATGTCCCTGTGTTATAAGGAGGATTTCACAGCAGCCTTGTACAACTGTTCAGTACTTCATGGCAGTGTAACATGGATTATAGTAAGCCAATGTATAGCAATAAAACAAAACACCGCCATGCTTTGCCTCAGCATGTAACCCAAAGTGCTTCATAGGGTGAATACCAGTTACAACGTTAAAATATAAAATAGTTGCAGGAATGCGGGAGAGAGAGAGAGAGAGGTGCAGGCAAAAGAAATGCAGGCAAAATAGAGAGAGGTTGAGTATTTAATTGATTTTGGTTGTTTCCCTGCCTGGGGTATAGTAGGTAAAGAGGCTAAAACTGTAATTTTTAAGATAATTTAATTAAATTATTAAGGTCAGAGTTAAGGGTATGCATTACCAAGTGATTTTCAGTTCTTTGTGTTGTGCCCTGAGGCTGATAAGTTGTTGAATTGAAAAATGTCAGAAGATATTGATATGGCTGAGTTGTGAGAGTAGTGGCCTAATGCTTGAAGGTCACTACTGGGTGTGAACGTTGCCTTAACTTAATTGTGGTGAGGAAACACACACATCTCTAAGTTAGCAAGGGTTTTTATGGGGACTATGTGTAATGTCTGGAGAAAGCAGCTGATTCTTTTGGACTCAAACCCTTTCTCTTAGCCCTGGTCTACACTAGGACTTTAGGTCAAATTTAGCAGCATTAAATCAATGTAAACCTGCACCCGTCCACACGATGAAGCCCTTTATTTCGACTTAAAGGGCTCTTAAAATCGATTTCCTTACTCCACCCCTGACAAGTGGATTAGCGCTTAAATCGGCCTTGCCGGCTCGAATTTGGGGTACTGTGGACACAATTCGATGGTATTGGCCTCCGGGAGCTATCCCAGAGTGCTCCATTGTGACCGCTCTGGAAAGCACTCTCAACTCAGATGCACGATCTCTGATGCAGGGAGGGGCGACTGAGGACACGGCTTACAGGGTTGGCTTCAGGGAGCTAAAATCAACAAAGGGGGTGGCTTTACATCAAGGAGTATTTCAGGCAGGACTTCATGGAGGGTTCCAATAAGAAATGGTGCACCTAAGTTATTGTTCTTATTGGTTTCAGAGGAACAGCCGTGTTAGTCTGTATTCGCAAAAAGAAAAGGAGTACTTGTGGCACCTTAGAGACTAACCAATTTATTTGAGCAATGCTCAAATAAATTGGTTAGTCTCTAAGGTGCCACAAGTACTCCTTTTCTTTTTGTTCTTATTGGAACAAGGAGGTTAGCCTGGCTTCTGATTGATACATGGCTAGATTTACCTCGCTGCACCTTCTCTGTGAGTGACTGCAGTGTGACCTAGAGGAATGAGTCCCCTAGACAGGGGAGGGGGGGGGAAGCAAATGAGTACAAAACAAATCTGGTCTATTTCTTGTTTTGATACACTCCAGCTATCTTTTACATCTTTGACTGGCAGCAGACGGTGCAGAAGGACTGCATGCCATCCACATCTCATGGCTGCTCGGCAGAAGATGGTACAGTACGACTGCTAGCCATCCTCATCTCTTGCCTGCCCGGCAGAAAATGGTACAAGAGGACTGCTAGCAATCCGTATCGCCTGCCTGCTCACCATAAGACGGTTCAATAGGACTGACTGCAGGACTAAAGAGAATGACCTGGTCAAGTCACTCCAAATTTAGTCCCTGCGCCCATGTCTGGCCAGGAGCACCTCGGACACAACGAGGACGGCTACCAGTCGTATTGCACCGTCTGCTGCCAGAAGGCAATGGGTTGCTGCTACTGTATAGCGTCTGCCAGCACCCAGGAGACATACGGTGACGGTTACCTGAGCTGGCTCCATGCTTGCCGTGGTATGGCGTCTGCACAGGTAACTCAGGAAAAAAGGCGCAAAACGATTGTCTGCCCTTGCTTTCACGGAGGGAGGGAGGGAAGGGGGGGCCTGACGATATGTACCCAGAACCACCCGCGACAATGTTTTAGCCCCATCAGGCATTGGGATCTCAACCCAGAATTCCAATGGGCAGCGGAGACTGCGGGAACTGTGGGATAGCTACCCACAGTGCAACGCTCCGGAAGTCGACTCTAGCCTCGGTACTGTGGAAGCGCTCCGCCGAGTTAATGCATTTAATGCACTTTGAGCATTTTCTGTGGGGACACACACACTCGAATATATAAAACCGATTTCTAAAAAACCAACTTCTATAAATTCGACCTTATTCCATAGTGTAGACATACCCTTAAACAGAATATTGCTATAAAGTCATGGATACTATTTCTATTCAGACCATCATTTTAGGGATGTAAATAGCACTGGTGTTGGCAGATGTTTAGATTTCATCCTCACTGCTGCTCAGTATTTGGAGCTTTGTATTATAGCGATGAGACTATATTTTAGTGAGTTGTGGGCAATAGCATGGAGCTCTCATTGAAATCCATGGGAGTTTTGCTTGAAGATTGATGAGAGGATGTGGCATTTAACAATCACACCTTTATTTCAGAAACAGATGAGGATTTGGCTTGAATTTGTTTGCCTCTGTGTCTAAAGCAGTCTTAAGATAAGAGAGCCGCACTCCTTCAATATGGAATATAGGCACTTTTAGTGCCTCTGTGTCTGAACGGACACATTCCTCATGCCGCACAGAATTAACATTAGTTGAGGGAGAAGCAAATTCTTCCTCTCCACTTACTCTGCAACGTAAGTCTGATCGTACATTCCATACATAGGAAGAAAGCCCAGTGAATGGGAGTTTTGCCTATATGTGAGCAGGCTTTGTTAATAGGAAGATGAGCATAATGTGTGGAGTTGGATACTCCCCTGAAGCTTGTTTGAGTGACGGCGTATAAAAAAGGCCCTTTTTGAAATGAGTCCAGTGTGGCTGTAGCTGATACTGCAGGAGAGAGAGGGTTTCTGCCAGAGGCTGAGCCTAGAGGAACTGGAATAGGCTGTAGGCTGAACTTTCCAGTCTACATAAAATGCGTGAAATTGTGCATCTTCAGATTGGCCAATGTGGAAACCAAGTTGGAGCTAAGGTGAGAATTGTTTTTCAGTAACCATCATTAGTGGCAAATGATTTGGGACCATATGGGCAGTACAGGAGTGATTAAATACGGCCTGATGTGGGGTATCATGGAATTCTGTTCACAGGCAGCTTGAGAAGCATGAGAAGTGAAGGTGTAGATTTTAATGTAATAGGTACAAGCTTCTTCATCGGGCAAGTGCAAGGGCTGAGCATAAAACATCTGCAATAGTTACGTGATGATCTGGTTAGGTGAAGATTATCAGCATTCAAGGGAACTCAGTCCTGCCAAAAAACATTGGAATGTGTGCGGGTAACTTATTTATACCAGTCTTGAAAAGTTCTCATGCAAATGTATTTGTCTAGCCAAACAATGTACTACCCCCCACACTCCATATGTTGCTGATCATAATAATTTATTTTAAAAGGTGTTTTACTTGACCTTAAAAAAAATTACTTGACTTTGATAAATGAGTGAGTAGAATTGTCCCAGGTTGACAGACAGCAGAGTTAAGGTTCCAGTCTGAAACTCCCCTTACAAAAGACAAATAAATGTATATTTATATTCACATAACTCTAAAACAACTGCATCAAGGACCAGAGTTCAGACCAAAAGCAATTAAAAAAAATCCTTAGATAAACTGATTCAACCATTTTTGAGAGATATATATACATAGAGATACATACCCTGGAAATAGCTTCTCAGAGATTGCTGTTAAAGCGCGTTGTAGGGTATAAGATGGCTAATTTTTCAATGACCTTTGAGTGTCATATACTGCACATAAAATGCTATACAGTAAGTACCCTGCTAATTAAATACAAGCATTAACGCAGATGCAGCAGTGATAGAAGGCATAAAAAGTAGACAGAACAGACAGGGAACACCTCTTTGCAGCAATCTAGATGGGGATGATATTAATGAAGAGGTTGTAGTGTATCCTGAAGTTTTACTGCCCCGGGGCTTTACGTGATGTCGTCAGCACTTAGGGTTAGGGTTCCTGCCATTGCTTGTGACTGTAACTTATTTTGTTTGTATGTGAAGAAAGAAATATTATTTAAGCGTAAACCTATATCATAGGCTGTGATGGAAATGGTTATATATTGTGTTCACAGGCTATGGAAGAAATACTGTTTGTGCTGCATGACTTTTGCAGGAGTTTTTCTCTTTAGTTGGAGTCTATCAAAATGACGTGTGACAATTCAGAAAAATTAGCTTTTTAGCAGATGGATAAAACAGAAAGATTGGGCCTGGATTTCTCACCCATCCACAGTGCCCACTGACTTCTTTCCCTGGGAAATGCAGGACTAGTCCGAGAGGAAATATTTTCTGAATGAAAAAGTCAGTGTGGCTTTTTAAAGGTGTATACACTTTACTCTCTCTCTTACACATCCACACATACTCAGAAACTCTGCTCTGCAAATTGCTGGTCTCTAGTAATGTTGGTGCAAAACACAATACAAGGGGCCATCATCTAGATTTGTTACATTTATAAATTTAAAATGAAGTTATGTGCTAAAGGCAAGAGACTTTTAAAATTAAACTAGCCTGCTCATGACAGAGGGTGTGACTGCATTAACACTGCTGTAGTGAGCTGCTTAGATAAGAGACTCCAGGGCTGGATGTATGCATGGAGGTCTAGATTGGAGTTTTGCTAATTTTGTTTTTTGATGATCTGTTCCTGTATGCTCTGAGCATGTTGCCTTCAAGTCTGCCTCTTAAAAGAAAGCCGTGTTTATTTTGAATAGTTATGGGCCAGAAGCAAACTCCAGATCCAAACACTGTCAAATGTGTATCACTAAACCTGCATTACTAAAATTAAATATGATTCATTAGGAAAAGTGAAATGGCTTAGAATGTAAACTCAAGCTTGAACTCTTGAATGTATTTTCTGCATCTGCATCCCAGAATCTGACAATGTCTATGCCAGACTCCTTATTCTATTATCTTCAGACAAACCCAACACAACTGCAGACCTAATGCCCATGCACAGTTACTTGGACTGTGTGTGCAATTGCATGTGGCAATGATCACTTATGTAGCTATCTGGTCCCATCGGTTTGGTATTGAGAGGTATGGAAGCTACACCTAAAGAAAGGTTGACTGAGTTCTGGTTGTAATGTGTAAACTTGTCTGACTCAGTTAGAATTCCTCCACACTCACTTCAGTGCTGGCCAATCCTCAAAAGCCACAGGCTGTCCCTTACTGTATATGATCATATAGGCTGGGCCTGGTGCTACTTCCCTCAAAAATCAATGGGAATCTTGCCATTGACTATAATGACCTTCTTTAGCCAACTTGCACAGTTGATGCCTAGAACTGTAAACACATATATGTTGACTTTTTGTGTGTGGCGCTTATTGATTTTGCTATTAATGCCTCTGGTGCATTTCATACGAGGTTGCTTGTATTAGGTAAGATGTTTTCCCCCTTGTTGCAGTGTTTATAGGTAAATGGTGGGACTGAAGAAGCGCTTACTTGATTGTACTTAGCCCTGTTTCTTTTTCAGTTCTGGGAAGTGATAAGTGATGAACATGGAATTGATGTCACTGGGAACTACCACGGTGATTCGCCACTGCAGCTTGAGAGAATTAATGTGTACTTCAACGAAGCTCATTGTAAGTGCTCAGGGTCTTTAATGGGTTGGCTGAGCAGATTCAACACGGAAGGGTTACAATAAAAAACACTGTGGGTGGGTGGGATTTTCAAAGTCAGTGTTTTAGGAGCACAAGTCCCATTGCCAATTGGAATCGTTCTCCTAAGTCACTTTGGTGCTTTAGAAAAATACCACCCTGTATCTTCTCTCCCTGTCGTGTAGTCCTAACTTGTTCTTACAAATCAAAGCTCCCACTGAAATCAACAAAAGTTTTCCCTATAAGCAGTAGAGGAGTGGGCCCAATGTTGATTGACCAATGAGGGTTTTTCCAGGTTGTGACGTTAGTTGATCTTCTGTACTTATTAAAGGGACTATCACTTCAATAGCATGGATTGCACTTTGCTCTGTTGTAGAATGTAGAATTTTTGTAGAATGTACTAACTGAAGTGTCTAAACTGAGGAGATGTGATGTGATGGGCGTAAGATTTTGCGTGGCTACCTGTCAATGTATTCTTACTTTCCTTTTGCCACAGCCAAGAAGTTTGTGCCCCGTTCTATCTTGGTGGACTTGGAACCTGGAACCATGGACAGTGTACGATCCAGCAAAATAGGCCCACTCTTTCGACCTGACAATTTTATTCATGGTATGTGCAATATGTTGTTAATCATATAAATAGGACATTATGGGGATACTGCGAAGGTTGACAGACCCAGAATCCCAAACACAGGGTCTCCCTAAAATATATCGTTTTTGTTTGTTTGCTTGTTTTTAAAAGCATCCCTACATAAATCAAAACAGTATTCACCCTTAACACAGAATTGCTACAATAATGTTAGAGGGAGACCGTTATGGACAATTTTGTTTAAGTTTATGTCTGGGATAGTAATAAGAACTTAAATTGTTAAAACTGAATTTTTGAAATCTGATTCACTCTTCACTGTTAATTCTGTATACATTTAATTCAATTAAAACAGACTAGTCAATTTCACTTTTCAGCCTTTGTCAGCTAATGCAATACTGCAATGACTGGATCTCCCAAAATGCCTGGGAATGTTAAAATGCAAAAAAACAAAAACAAAACCCAACAACCCAGAACACTTTGCACAGGAATTTAAAACAAAATATTTCAAGAAATCATTTTTATTGTACCTTCAGATTTTGTAAAACGGGTTTATACAAAACCTAAGTTTTAGAAACATATACAGATGCCAGTGGGTCTTTAAAATCCCAGCTGCTAAGCTAAGCAACGCATCCTATTCAAAACAAGTTTTTCAAAATCTTGGCAGAATTTATCTTTTTAATGTCAAGAAGTCAAATAATTAGAAAATAGTGTGCAAAATGTTGCAATTAACACCTAAAATTACAAAGATTGGAAGAGATAAGCAGATAAAAATTTCTGTTTTTCTCAGTTTACTTTTTGCATTTGAAAACCCTTTGTATATAGTCAGTGTCCATATTTCCTCTGTTGTGTGTAGGGTCCTTTTCTCACAGCAACGTGGAAGAGAAAACCATTTTTTTTTTAAATTGGAAAGTATGCCAATAAAGCCATAGTGAAAATATAACATTCTGGGGAATAAGTAACATTCTGAATGTTTTTAGTTGCAGAAATAGTTAGGGTATTATGATTAAGGAGAGGTTTAGAGGGTTATTGAAAATCAAGATACAGGAGTTTTACCCTGGAACGGTTCTGGGTTCACAAAAGGGATGAGCCATAGATATTTTGTATCTGAAAAAGTTTAATAAATTCCCATTTGTTTTTTGTCTGTATTTGAAATGCAGCAACTTGTGCTAGTGCTATTGGAAACTTTGAGTGTGTAAGCAGCACGTAATAAAGAATTGTGTTACTATTGAAAATGGTAGCAATTTTGTATTAATTTAGAAATTTAGCAACTAACACCAGAACTGTGTTAAAATTCAAAAGAAGATAAATAGCAAAATAAGAAAATTCCATTTCTTCATAACAATTTTGGAGGAAACATATCAGTTTGTTGACTCTTTCCTGAACTGAATGTGGAAGAGAGGTGTGCAATTGCCTATCTGGAGTTTGTCCAACCCAAGTTTTCCCAGATTCAGTGAATGCACATTACTCCTTAGTCAATGGGAATGATTAGACACTGGCCTCTTTAGAACACCTTTTTTTGTATTTGTGGGCAGTTATGATGTCTGTCCACTATGTCATTTGTCCTATGGCCTTTCTACATCTGTCAGTATTTGGCAGCATTCTTATTAATGACTTTTTACATTTGGCCTGGTAACATTGTGGCTGGTTTTCTGTAATTATATTCACAGGTAATTCAGGTGCTGGCAACAACTGGGCTAAGGGCCATTACACAGAAGGAGCTGAGCTGATTGACAGTGTAATGGATGTGGTCAGGAATGAGTGTGAGAGCTGTGATTGCCTGCAGGGGTTTCAGCTCATCCATTCACTTGGAGGAGGCACAGGATCTGGTATGGGCACACTCCTTATCAACAAAATCAGAGAAGAATACCCTGATAGGATTATTAATACTTTCAGCGTAGTGCCTTCACCCAAAGTATCAGACACAGTTGTAGAGCCATATAATGCCATACTGTCCATCCACCAGCTGATAGAGAACACAGATGACACCTTTTGTATTGACAATGAAGCTCTGTACGACATATGCTTTAGAACCCTAAAGCTCCGCAGCCCCACCTATGGTGACCTCAATCATCTGGTGTCCCTGACCATGAGTGGTGTCACCACCTCAGTCCGTTTTCCTGGTCAACTCAATGCAGATCTGAGGAAGCTGGCTGTCAACATGGTGCCTTTCCCTCGCCTGCACTTCTTTATGCCTGGCTTTGCTCCACTGACAGCTCGAGGCAGTCAGCAATACAGAGCCCTCTCGGTCCCAGAGCTTACCCAACAAATGTTTGATGCACGGAACATGATGGCAGCCTGTGACCCTCGTCATGGACGCTATTTGACTGTGGCATGCATCTTCAGAGGCCAGATGTCTACCAGAGAAGTGGATGAACAGTTGCTGGCTATCCAGACCAAAGATAGTGCCTACTTTGTGGAGTGGATCCCTAACAATGTGAAAGTGGCAGTGTGTGACATACCACCACGAGGGCTGAAGATGGCAGCCACCTTTATAGGCAACAACACAGCCATCCAAGAGCTCTTCATTAGAGTTTCTGAACAGTTCTCAGCTATGTTCAGACGGAAAGCATTTCTCCACTGGTATACTGGTGAAGGTATGGATGAGATGGAGTTTTCTGAAGCAGAAGGCAATACCAATGACTTGGTGTCTGAGTACCAACAGTATCAGGATGCTTCAGGAGATGTAGATGAATATAAAGAGGTAGAAGTGGAAGTTAACCAAGAACAAGAAACACTTGAAAAAGATTTTTAATATCAGAACACTATCCAAGAACACTTATTGAATGTACATCTTCTATTAAAAAGTAATACTCACCTACCTATCTGAAGGGAGAACTCTTAAAAGTATCTACCTTTCTCTATATTAAATCAAAGCATATCCACTGTATATATGAGTATAAAGTATTGTGACACTGAAATTAACACCCATAGTGCCTTTTCCTCGTAAACAATGTCTGGTACAGCAAACCCCACAAAAATAACAACCACAAGAGCAAGTTGTGCTATGTCAGCCATCTTCACAATTCACTAGCTTTTAGAATGGTATAGTCAGATTCTGAATGTAACAGCGTGTTGTGTGTGACAAAAGTCATGACAATGAGTGTTGGTGTAATATGCTCTAAACTGTCATAACGTTTATGAATTCTCAGGCAAATGGAGATTTAGGTTTTACATTTGGGAATTTTAGAAGGATACATGTGTATTTATCCATCAGGTTATAACAGTAAGTACCTATTTTGTTCTGCACACCAATCAGCAAGCTGAATCAGTGTTTGTTAAGGAGTGTAGAAAAAAGTTTTAAGATACCTTCTAAAACATTTCTTAACAGACTGAAAGAGTATTAACCAATAACATCACTTTCTTTTTGTTTTACATTATGGAAGATTTTTTGTATTCGCAATGTTTTTATATTTCATCTTCAATTACATATTTAGAGTGGTTTATATCAGCTCATAGTTTTGTGAACTTTATCTAGAAGTTTCTTTTGGTGCCGTCCCTCTCCCTTTAAAGAGTGTATTTATAACTTTTCCTCTTATTGTTTCATACAGTGAACTAAATAGAATGGTTTGCAGCTAGTTTGAGATGTAACCCCAATGTCACAATTCAGTTTACATAATTTAGGAAAGTTAAAAACAACAATGCATCTCACTCAAAGACAGATCCTGTTGCTAGCCATTGTGGTGATGTTATCCATTCAATGCTATTTATAATATAGCAACTATTACTGTGGTGTTTTGATGTTTTCTGAATCATTCCCCCACTTTAAACAAATATTTAACAGTTTACTCAAATAATTTCTAAGACCTTTACAAGACTTTTTTGAAAATATTTTTCCTTGTCTATCAAATGTGCTTCATTAAAAGTTAAATCTCATAAAAAAACAAATGTTTATGTTCCAGACAAATTTGAGCTTTTTTAAGTTTATGCATTATTTAAATAAAAAGAAAAGACAAAAATTGTTAGGTCATTTCTTTCCCATCCTTTCAAGCTCTAACTTTGCCACTTGCTTGGAGATGAAATAATTAACTTTTCTAGGGTAGAACCTTAAAAGATGAATGCAAGTCCCATTAATATGCAATTCCACTTAACACATGAACACTTTAAAATCTTACAGCCAGTGGCTATTAGAATCAACTACAGAATCATAGTTCAGTTGTGTATGTTCTGAAAGTATTTTAAAAATGTGATTTCATCTGTCTTTTTATGGTCTGTACCAACGAACTGACTCCATTCTCTTCCAATGAGAGGTGAATGGCAAGGTGACTTAACTAAGACTTGCTGTGCAAATGGGTTACGACTACGTATGTAGATTACTCAGTCTCCACTGCGATGCTAAGAGTAGGGTAAGCCCCATCATGAATGGATAAAAGACATTTATTTTTCTCAGCCCAAACCACAAAACTTGGTTACTACTTATCTGGGAAATAAGACAATCGAGCCAGTTATCTGTGGAAGAGCCAGGTCTGACCTGTTTATAAGAGTCTCTTGCTTCAAATGCAGACAACATGGTCCACAGCATTCCCTCTGTCAGAAAAGGGTCATTAAACAAAAGGTGACATTTTCAAATGAGCCTGATTTAGGAGCACAAGTCCCAGTGGCTTGGGAAGAACTGCAACTTTAACCCAGTTTGTTCACTACATTGAACACAGTGTGCCTTGTCTACACAAGGCTTTTCAAACATGTTAGCTAGCACATATTAGCAAACATCACAACTTTACATCCTAATCTAGAAAAAGTTTTAGGCTGTTTGGAAAAATCCCAGCCAAAGTGTCTCTCTCTGAGCACTAAGCTTTTCACTCATACTCACTCCCAAGTCAGAAACTGAATCTGTACCATTACTCTTCTGAGCCACAGCTTAGGTTAGACTGAAAGTCTCCAAGGAACAGGTTCTCCTGCAGTAGTTCATTTGCGCAATGACCTGCTCTGTCACATCTCTTTGGCCTTCTGTTTTGAGAAATGGAACTTGAAATTTGTCTAGATAACTATATTACAAGCCAAGCAGCACTCTGAAGTTTATACATGCCTTTAAGGTAACGTTTTCCTTCTGTAAAAAATTCATATACAAGGAACCAAGAACATTAAAAACATGTTCAAGATTTGTGTACTGTCCAGAACAAAATGCTTGACGCTTCAGTTGCATTAGTCTGGTCATACAAGTGAACACACTCAGTGACCCAGCTATTCTGTACACCTAAACTTGGACACTGTTACATAGCTCACACATTCTGTTGCTGAATGATTAACTTTGAAAGGACTCCTGTAGCAAAGAGATAAGTAACAAGCTAGGAGTATGAAAGCCTCAATGACACTGAATTATTTTTAAAGATGCTGTCTTTTAATGAAAACTAGTTGTTCTACTTAGTGACAATTCTGCATATGCTATTTCCATTTTCTTATCATTATATGCGAACAGGAATAGCTGAACGAAGTCAGAATCTTAGATGGCGTGTATCTACTTCATCTGAATTAGGATAGGTTAGCAAAGTTGTGGGCCATACAGTCCACCTTCTAGCTGAGACACCCCTTTGCTGTTTGCTATTTCCCCTATACTCCCCTACTGCTCTATTTTTGGTGAACACATTTGAGTATCCTATCCTTTTATGACTGTCATTACTGTCGGTGAAACTGTCAACTTACAAGAAATGACCCATAGAATTGGTTGTGGTGTATACCCCACCTTCCTGTTATTTTGCCCACACAATGATGTGTGAGTGCTGACGAATGTTCAAGTATTAAAGATAGGACCAGAGCATCAGATGTTATTAAATTTATATAGAACATTTGTACCTTTAGAGACTAGACAACTAGACACTGGGGGAAGGGGTAGTAATGGAATGGTACAAAAAAACCTCAGACACTGTACTTAGTACTGGGGTTGTCAGAGTTGTGATTTCAGTAACAAAAAAACATGAGGTGCACTTTATTAGTCAAATTCATGTTTTGTCACCTTCTACTGGAACACTGTGGGTTCTGTTTCCTGTAGCTACAATGAAAAGGTTAGCTGATCGATGGTAGGGCCACTCAACCACCATGGAAACCTCCACCCCATAGTGTCTTTCTAACTGCCCCATAAAACATAGCAACCCGGAAGATTCAGCAAGTGTGGCAAAAAATACCATGTACAAGGCACCCATAATTTTCAAGTGTTTGAGTAGAGTTTAACTGTGATTGTTGCATAAATTTCAAGAGAAAAAAAAAAGTGAGATTTTAAAAAGCAAGCAATGTGTCTTAGAACAGGCCTGGGCAAACCACGATCTGCACCATGCAGCTCGGCCCCGCTCCAGCCAGAGCACTGGGTCGGTGGCTGGACCACACTGCTTGGCCCCGCTCTGGCCAAGGTGCTGGGTCAGAGGTCATATCACACAGCTTGGCCCCACTCTGGCCACAGGATGAAGGCCGCCCCACGCAGCTTGGCCCTGCTCTGGTGCTCCAGCTGGGGTGCAGGGTCCTGGAAGCCGCGGCATTGACCCGCTCCGGCTCCTACATGCTCCAATGGGAGCTGAAGGGGCAGTGCCAGCAGATGGGGCAGCGTGCAGAGCCACCTGGCCGCACCAGAGCCAGAGAAGGGATATGCCACCGCTTCTGGGAGCCGCTTGAGGTAAGCACTGCTCAGAGCCTGTGCCTCTCTCCACACCCCAACCCCCTGCCCCAGCCCTGATCCCCCTCCCGCTCTCCAAGCCCCTCAATCCCAGCCCCGAGCACCCTCCTGCACACCAAACCTCTCATCCCGAGCCGCACCCAAGCCCACACCCCCAGCTGGAACCTACACCCCTTCCTGCACCCCAGCCCCATAATCCTCCTGCCCTCCAAACCCCTCAGTCCCAGCCCAGAGCACCCTCCTACACCCCAAACTCATCCTCATTAAAGTCTATGAGCTTGAATTGTTTCCACATTGACTGCTTTTTAAAAATAATTGCAATTTGGTAAAATTCTTGTGTCTTCAATAGCATGCCTGGAATTTTTTCTTTTTAAATATTTCTAGAATTTTCTGCTTCCTTGCTGAGGTTTTTAAACAGACTTTTCCCGCAAGGAACAGTTCTTAGGGCCACACACATTTTGTGCACATACATAACCTCAATCCTGACCTCACTTGCTAAGCAACCTGGGAAGTAGATATCTATGCAGTGAAAGGGGCTTCCTTGGGAGTTTGTGGAGAAAAGTCCCCTTTCCCTGTGTAGGCATTCTGGGAAAGAGGACACCCTGCTGGTTCTAAACTCAGAAAGAGTAATGCTATTGCTGTTACTTATGAACACCCTTTAGTACAATCCAGAAAAACAGGAGAGCTCCTTTCAGACCAAGGAATGAAAGTAATGTTCAACATATGAAATCCCTTCAGAGGAAACTGAAGTACGCTAACAGAATGGTTTCCATTTCTTTCCATACACAGCTATGACACTTGCCAATAGAAGACTGTAACAGGTGTTAAGCTGAAGTAAATTATAACCTTCAGAGGGAAATTTGGTCTTTAGATATCACACATTTTAGAACTGTTAATGTGTCCAAAAATTTACCATTTCTTGAATGTAGAAGTTTGTTTAATGCTTGCAGTGAATTGGGAACATCAAGTCCTAAAGATAATCTGTGAAGAACCTGGATTTGTGCCTTTATTTTCCCCCATTTTTTTTTACTTTCAAAATACCAGGAATGTCAACTCTGGTATCCTTGGGTTTTGGTAGTAGACTTCTTGGGAGTGAAGGGGTATCACAGAACATGTTTATTGTGAGCTCCTCAAAGGAGATAGATGCCTTTTTGTAAAGATTGAATACCTTTCTCCAAGATGTTCATTAGTCACTGAAGGTAAATAGTTGAGTAGTCAAACAAAAAAACAAACAAACAAGAAAACCCTCTTCCCCTCTCAGCTTTTATTAAACTCCTCAAAATTCACCATTTTATTCGTTTTGCAGTAATTAAGCCATCTAAAGTAGATGAAGCATGAATTTCCAATATAAAAGCCACTAAAATTCCTTTAAGAAGTTTAATAATTTGTCTCACACACAAAAAGTAAAAGTAAATGCCCCTTCCAAAGATAGTAACTCATGCTTTCAAAGAGAAACCATAATAGCTTCTATGGTCATGGTGAACTAAAAGTTCAGTTTATTAGCATGTTGATTTACACATGCAGACAGATTTTATAGCTAACATGGAGAGACTACATTGCACATCTGCAGACCCATAACCTTGTCTTCACTTGATAGTTTGTCCATACAGTTCTTCACAGGGCCAATCCTATGAGAGATTTAAAGAACATAATAAGTCTCACTAGCTCAATGAACAATGATTTATTCAACATGGAACAGCGTCAACATAAAGAGACCCACCCATGAATACGACACTGAGTGGTTAGGGCACTCAACTGTTCAAATCCCTGCTCCAATTTGGGGATTCAAACTAGGAGCTCCCACCTCCCAAGTAAGTGCCCAATTTGTAAATCTAGCCCTTTGTGTTCAGAGGACAACAAAACACTAAGACTGAAGTTATTTACTTTGTCAACCTTTGTAACGGATGATCCTAGTTCAGTTGTTTGTATTTATCTGCAAATTTTTAGATAACATTGCTCCAACTTCTTGAATAGTGACACTATGCAGACATGGTTACTATCAACATAAATACAATGGAAGTTTTGCCCATGATGCTGAAGGAAAACATGGCACCTTTACTGAGAAAGATAGATATCTCAGACTGCAGTTCTAGTCACATGACTTCATGTATTCTTTGGCCGGTTTTGACTAGCCAGGCTAAATCAGACACACACACACTAGATTTCTCATCAATAGTCATTCCAGTCCATAGATAGCTGGAAAAATGCATCTTTAATTGCTTGCAGTGTACATACCCTTACAAGTGAAGGGACAAGTAGTATCCACCTTTCACAAGCATAAAACATTTGCTCAAC